AAGGAGTAAACCCAGAACGAAACCCTAAAAGGAGTAGACGAAAACCCTATGTGTCTAACCTGTCCGGGCTTGTCCTGGCTTGTCCGTTGTCGGGGCTTGTCCGGGCTTGTCCAGCTGTACGGGCCCTTGTCCGGGCTGTCCCGGCTTGTCCGGGCTTGTCCGGGCTTGTCCGGCTGTCCGGGCCCTTGTCCGGGCTGTCCCGGCTGTCCCGGCTTGTCCGGGCTTGTCTGGGCAGGACTGTTTTGGGGGCTCATACCTGGCCCGGGTCGGGGGGGGGGGGGCGCAAGTGATTAGGCCCAATTTCTAAGAGGGGTAAACGCAGAACGAAACCCTAAAAGAGGAAACCCAGAACGAAACCCTAATGAAAGAAGGCCCAACCCCTAAGAGGAGTAATCGGCCCAACCCCTAAGAGGAGTAAACCCAGAACGTAAGAGGAGTAAACCCAGAACGAAACCCTAAAGGAGTAAACCCAGAACGAAACCCTAAAAGGAGTAGACGAAAACCCTAAGTGTCTAACCTGTCCGGGCTTGTCCTGGCTTGTCCGTTGTCCGGGCTTGTCCGGCTGTCCGGGCCCTTGTCCGGGCTGTCCCGGCTTGTCCGTTGTCCGTGCTTGTCCGGGCTTGTCCGGCTGTCCGGGCCCGGCTGTCCGGGCTTGTCCGGGCTTGTCCGGCTGTCCGGGCCCTTGTCCGGGCTGTCCGGCCAGAACGAAACCCTAAAAAGAGTAAACCCAGAACGTAAGAGGAGTAAACCCAGAACGAAACCCTAAAAGGAGTAGACGAAAACACTAAGTGTCTAACCTGTCCGGGCTTGTCCTGGCTTGTCCGTTGTCCGGGCTTGTCCGGGCTTGTCCGGCTGTCCGGGCCCTTGTCGCCCGCCTTGTCCGGGCTGTCCCGGCTTGTCCGTTGTCCGGGCTTGTCCGGGCTTGTCCGGTGTCCGGGCCCTTGTCCGGGCTGTCGGGCCAGAACGAAACCCTAAAAAGAGTAAACCCAGAACGTAAGAGGAGTAAACCCAGAACGAAACCCTAAAAGAATAAACCCAGAACGAAACCCTAAAAGGAGTAGACGAAAACCCTAAGTGTCTAACCTGTCCGGGCTTGTCCTGGCTTGTCCTGGCTTGTCCGTTGTCCGGGCTTGTCCGGGCTTGTCCGGCTGTCCGGGCCCTTGTCGCCCCCCTTGTCCGGGCTGTCCCGGCTTGTCCGTTGTCCGGGCTTGTCCGGTGTCCGGGCCCTTGTCCGGGCTGTCGGGCTGTCCCGGCTGTGCTGGCTTGTCCGGCTTGTCCGGGCTTGTCGGCTGTCCGGGCCCTTGTCCGGGCTGTCCGGGCTGTCCCGGCTTGTCCGGGCTTGTCCGGGCTTGTCCGGGCTTGTCCGGGCTTGTCCGGACTTGTCCGGGCTTGTCCGGGCTTGTCTGGGCTTGTCCGGGCTTGTGCGGCCTTGTCCGGGCTTGTCCGGGCTTGTCCGGGCTGTCCGGGCTTGTCCGGGCTGTCCGGGCTTCCGGGCGTGCCCGACTGTTTTGGGGGTCGGTGTGGAGCCCATACCCGGCCCGGGGGGGGGGGGGCACAGATGATGGATTCGGGGGGGGCGCAAGTGATTGGGGGCCCCGACAGTTTAGAGAACTGCCCACACACACGCATACATGCACCGGCTGCCCTCGTTCTTTTCCTGACTTTCAAAGCCTTGCCGAAGGTGTCGCCTAGAGGAGTTGCACCAAGAACACCTCAGTGGCAGAGGAGAGCATCTGGCGGAGGCCGTCTTGCAATGAAGTGAAAACAGAGCATGTGCTTGCGATTGCAGCGGAAGCCGCGCGACTCATTTGGAGCAACTGGACAGGTGTTCCGATCTCAGCACAGGTCACGGCACCGGCCTCAGCAATAATTGCCAGGTCTTGGCAGGCTAACCGCTGCCACGCTTGACACTAGGTCTCGACTGGAAGATCTCGCCACCAAACAGTCGCAACAATTGCAGGCAGCAGAGGCGTGCTAAGCGTGCAGACATTTCGGATGCATGGACAGTCCAGAACCAGGCTTCAGCATTTGTAGCCAAACCAAGTGAGTTCCGATTCTCCTTGTCGCCCGTGTCCCAAGCAGCAGATATAGCCGGGCTCCATGCCATGGCCCATGTTCTTTTGCCGTTTGAGGATGTGCAGTCCTCAAATTCACGTGCCTATGGTGCCGCTCTAGCTGAAAAAGATGGCGTGAGTGGCGCGAATTGTGAGAGAGATGAGCTGAACCTTACCCAGCTCACCATGATCACTTTGCTGGGCGAAGCAAAGAAGCAGATTGGCTGGACAGAACAGGAGGCCACATCTGCGGCGACGGCGCAACCAGCCCAGACAAGTTGCATCAGGCACCCTCCCGCAGTGACATTTTCAAGATCCACCGACGAAGTGAAGGCTTTGGCAGCAAAGATTCGAATGCCTGCCAAGTCGTTTCAGACTTCCAACCCTCCATCGAGTTCCACATCGCGCTGCCCCACAGCAGAAGGTCTTGCACAACAGTTCGTAGCGGCCATCGGCCAAGTCCCTGGCCCGCTCCAAGTTTTCTCAGCAGCCAAGTTCTGCGTTGCAGAATGGAGAATCGCTGTGAGTAGACTGGGGAAAGAGCGGCAGATTGTCTCTCACCAGATACCGGTCAAAACATCGTCCAGCGCAGACGAAAGCATGTTCGTGGTCATCCTCCGACACGTGAAGCAGGGCAAAGGTCAAGTATCGCAGATGGAGATCAAATGCCAGCAAGTACAGAATCCCAATGCTAGTTTTTGGATTTCCTTTCGGGTCACCGTCGGTTCAAGGACCCACAGCGGATGCCATGACTTTGCCAATAATTGCGTGGCGAGACTGCGCGACCCAAGAACGGGCTCTCCACAATCGTGGAACTTGAACGCAAACCAGGCCTGCACCCCGAAGTTCTGAATATTTCTGAAGTAGATGAATCTCTGCTGACTTGTTTGACCTTGTGGCAAGTCCGCACGAACGCACACCTGTAGCATCCGCAAGGACAAGGATGGATTTGCGCGGATCATGCTAGAAATCGTCACGGAACAATGAGGCGGCTTCCGCTGACTTTTCGTGCCTCGGCTTTCTGCTTTTTTTTGCAGCGTGTGTCCACCAGTCAAACAGCTGGGGGCGGCTAGGGCAGCTAAGTGATGGAAATGACTCGATGTGCGTCTGACTGAGGCTCATTAACTATCAACTCACGGCTGAGAGGAGTTTGAACAGTTAGAGCTCGACAGTGGCTCAGCACGTGTTTCTGATTTTTTGAATTTGGTGGCAAGAGCAAAGAGTCTCAAATATTCTAGGTCATGAGTGGATGGATCAGGGAGCAGATAAAGGCACACTAGGGCACCTCAACTCCGCATGTCGTCTCTAGAGTTGGAGCAGGTCATATTTCAGAAGTGCCGGCTGCTTCCCCGGAAACTGTTTGTTCGTGTGTGCTCGTGACGCCTTAGCGGCTTGCCGTCCTGGAACTGCACCAGGCACACGGTTTTTATGATGCTAGGGCACCCATACTCGGAGTTGTTCTTGCAGTCTTGAGGGTCGCCCGGGTGTCACGTGCAACACTTTCTGACTTGCTCCGCAGCTGTGCTACCACATCTTGTAGTCCATGCTGCGCTCACCGTGTACAGGAACAAGCGCACGATGCCCAAGCATCGTGTGAAGAAGTTCACAATGATAATGTACCCGTGTGATATCCATAGCACACTTGATAGAGGCCGCAGCCGAGGCGCGTCTTGAGAAAAGAATTTGGTGACAGCAGCTCTTTGATCTTGCAGCTCGCCTCGAGATCCAGTCCGAACCCAGATCTTGTTCACATGTCACACTTTTCAAGTAACAAGTCAAGTTTGTATGCTTTGCTTTTGCCGCGTGCTCCGTGTATGTCAGGGAAATTCGTGTGCAGGGCAAGCCCTGTCTCTGGTTTTTCCAACCTTCGTTCCAAGCCTTTGCCTCACAGTCCCAATGGTGCAAGGTTCGCATAATATCATGACCGCTGTCAAGGAAACGTATGACAAAAAGGGAGCTCCGCTCTGAAGTGGAGCAGGGACAGCATGACATCAACATCGCAGGCCTTGAAACGGATTTTGCATAGGCAAAGTGTTCCTGCCAGGAAACATTGACGTCTCCACAAGTCAATTCGAAAAGGGTGGTCTCTTCCTCAGGTAGGCTCTTGTCGCTCGGTTCCTGGCATATGCGTAGTCCAGGTGTAAAAGGTAGGCTCTCGTCGGCCACGGCTCATAGATCAGCGGCCATGCACGGATTGCTCGGAAGCGAACGCCATGCAACCCCGTGCAATCATCCGGAAATCGGTCAACATGGTTCGACAGCCTCATTCATTCACAAGCACAAGAGCCTGTTGTTGGCCGTGCGTGTGGCGTTGATTGGCAACGGCTTGGGGACAGTACTGTAGCAACGCCGTGGCTGGGAGGAGGCAGCCAAAGCAGCAGATCAACGTAGAGTGACGGCGGCGGCCCTTGCTTGAATGCACAGGTGCAGGTACTGGGGCATTATGTTCGCTTTTGACCGGTTCGCATCTCAGGCATCAGCAGCCCTGGATCAGGCTGGGTTCTGCGTGATTCTCCGGGCCCTTGTGAAAGCATGCCACTTCATGCTTCGTCGAAGTTGCCGTTGCGTGTGTAGCTTCCTTGCTCCGTCCGCAGCCAGCCAGATCGAACAGGGTAGCTCCGGCGAACTTTTGAGAGCGTAAAATCACTTGACTTGCAGCCGGCTCCGCCTGGGCTCTCTCTGGTTCCTGGCGCGGAGCAGCCAAGCTGGCAGCTGATTCCTGTGCAGGATGGGAGCTTTCGTGTGCCAGTAGCGGTAGCGGGGTTAAACCTCCAGTTTCTGCTTCAAAGAAGGCCTTGAGGTGCCTTTGCACCTGGCAGACATCTCTTTCAGAAGTTTGGCGATCACTAGCCGCTAGCCGCCTAGTTTCATTCTTCTGGCCTACGGAGAGGTGTCGTCCGCTCACGGCTTGGCGGTGAAGAGAGCTGCAACTGGCTCTCTCTGAGGATGGAGACTTGATGCAGGCTGAATTTGTAAGGTCGGCTCGCAATCTGTTTGTTTCCTTGCGGATTCTTGATTGTGCTTTCTTCTGTCCTTGAAAATTGCTGTTTGCATACATCTGCTTGTTTGTTGCCAAACATGCTGACACCAGATATCGACTGCACAAACTTTGAGTGCTTCCCACTTCCAGATGCTGTGAAATGTCTTCAGGTCTAGACACCTTTCAGGTATCGATCGCCCATGAGTGATCAGATTACATCCTTGCACGCAGATAAGAGCAGACAAGCTGTCACGAGTTCCATGCGGCCACAGGCTGAACAGATATCACTCGAGCACATCGATCTCGATTGTTTCGCTAAGGAAGCACACTTGGCTCCTTTGCCACTGTGTTTTGGCTTCCTGCAGATAGGAGCCCTTGCACGGCACAAGCTTGGTGCATTGTGCATCGCAGTCACGCTGTTCCGCAGGAAGCAGGCTTCGATTACGAACTTTGGCATCTGCCATTTGCAGGGAGGTCGAGGCTACCAGTCACCTCTCAAACGGCTCAGTGGCTCGCATGACCCTATGTGACCAGGCTTGCCGTAGATGTGCTGCGGGTACTGAACCTTGGCTGGCAAGGTCGGCAGCTAGGGATGCTTCTGTGCTTCGGGCATATCGTTTTGCCATCGCAGCAGTTACGTATGCAGTCCGCTCCTTCATCATTCGCATCTGTGGTTGCAGCTGTGGCTTGCTGCTGAGGACGGCACTTGGGAGCTTTGCCGTGCAGCTCAAGCAGGAGAGGTCCAGCTCTGCTTGGTCCTGAGAGTTGAATCATTGAAGGACAGCGCCTCCGCGCGTGGCTTAGCATGAGGGCCAATGCGATCAGCGTGCAAGGCCGCCTGCTTATCCGGATGGGTGCGAATGTCAACGCCATCGGAGAGGAGTGCGACAGGGAGTCTGAAGAGCCTTCGATCTAAGCCTGCCAACTGCTTTTGAACAACCCGGTAACCTTGTCATCTAATTTTGCAGTCCACTTTGCTGGCTTTCCAGCTTGGCATTTGGAGACCGTTGGCACGAACGCACAGTGCTTTGGCAAGTTTGGTGAAGCGGCTGGGGTCTGCAAACTGCACAGCTGTGATCCTTTCATGGTTTGCTTTTTCCGGTTGCAGGATGATCTCACACCCTTGATGACGGCTGCGTTGGCAGGTAGGCGTCTCAGTGTTTCCCTCCTAGACCGACGTGTGGATCCTACACAGAAGCATGCGAATACCTGTCCATATGCTTGTCGGCAGTCACGGGTCTCACATGGCCCTGTATACCTGCTCTTCCAACCAAAAAAGCCAGACACGCGGGACCGTCACTGTCTGCTAGAAGGATGTAATGTCCACCGACCACGGCATGCCTCGGAACCCAGTACTTGCATTCGACGTTGCTGGCATGCTCATCCGGCGTGACTTCGCGGTCTTGAGATGTCTTGAGTTGTGTGTGATGGGGACATATGGGGACTGTGCGCGTTCGCCGCCTCAGCAGCGCTGAGGCCGAACCACAGCGGTAGAAGCCCTTCTGGATGAGCGAGCCGACCCCGACAAGCAGAATGACACGAAGTGCACTGCATTGATTCTGGCCGCGGACATGGGGCACGTGGCCGTTGTGCAGTGCCTTCTGCTCCGCAGAGCTGATGTCCATCTTCAGGCTTCGCCTTGGTCCGCCGTTGCTTAGTGTCGCTGTGGCTGGCTGATTTTTCTTTCTGAGATTGTTTGGGGTTCCGCTGGGTTCGCTAGTCTAGGCCTAGGCCCAGGCATTCAGGCCGGTGCTGCGAGAGCAAACGCGGGGCGTAAGGGTGGCTGCCAATGTCCCTACAATGTATGTCGTTCAGTTGAGGGCATCACCGCATTTTACAGTGGACTTTTTACGATGTTTACTCAGCTTTCTTGCATGCGTCCCGGACTGCACTGGTTGATAGGTGCTTCAAGCTTTGACGCGTTGAGCCCTCGACACCGGAAGTCACGTCGCAAAACGAATCACAACTCCTAAGTTCAGTGACGATCAAGGAGGAGCTTTGTGGCTCACGCATTGAGACCTGCAGGCCGTCGTTGCCTCTTTGACATGTCAGGCCGATGACTCCACCACTGCCTTCATTGCAGCTGCGCAGAAATGCCATTCAGCTGTACTGCACGAACTGATGTTTGCGCACGGTGAGGACACTCGGCCCATTGAGGCTCAGAGTATCTGACTTGGTCTCTCAAGTCTCTAAAGCTTTTCAGTAAACCTCATGTTTACTTTAGGCTTCACTTAGGGCACAGCCCTTGCAGCCTCCTCCACTAGTAAGGGTTGCTATCGTAGTCACGATGTGTGCCTTTTGCACTCAGGACCAGCGAGCACTGGCGGATGCGCTCTTGCGGGCATCCGAAGACGGTTCTGCAGATGTTGTCGAGCTGCTCGTTCAGCTTGGCCTGGAGCTTGATGCCAGAAGCTCCGATGGAGACGAGTCGATCGGTGGCCAAGCATTACGGGTAGCTGCTCACCGGTGACCTTGGTCGCACTGCAAACACATGTACACCGGTTGCGGGTGGTTTCTTGTCTCCTTGCCAGCCGGTCCCTTCCAAAATATGCAGGAACCATCGACCGGTAACCTTGGCGCTGCTAGCTTGTCGCGCGGATGTGGATGCTGCATCGGCCAATGGTTTCACTGCCCTTGCCGTCGCCTGCCAATATGGGGCAGCTGATGTTGTGCAAGACCTTCTGGCCCGAAGGGCGGACCTGAACGCGCAGGCTCTCAACGGACGAACCCCCCTTATGCTGGCTGCGACTTTCGGGCACACTGCGATTGCCCGAAGCTTATTGGAGCATCAGGCCGCAGCGCCACTTTCCGGCAGTGACCAACCCGCCTTTTTTACACATGCCCGACTCAACTAATAATTAGTGCAGCTCGGGTCTTTCGTGGGACTTCTCGTCAGGAATGTGCGAGACGGAGACCAGAACAACTCCCTCCTTCTCGCTGCGCAATCGGGATATGACGACATCCTTTTCTCCTTGCTCGCCCACCGCGCTGCTGCCGCTCAGCTGCAACAGATGTTCCAGCAATTGAACTTGCACGCGAGGATGCAGATGGCAGGCGTCAGGCCCTGAACAATCGCAAAGCATTAACAAAGCCATTTGTTGACGTTGCTGAACAACACAGGCCCAACTTGTTTGTCTGATCTGTCTGACGCCGAGGTAAACGATGTCGGGCAGCACGCCTCTCAGAGATTTCTCACACGATGCTGGCCCAGCTGTCTGCATGAAGCGCACAAAGCCTCAAGGCCTTAAGTGAGAACCGCCTGGAATCCCTCGGGGTCTTTCGAGGTCTGGATGGACTGCGCTGAACCTGGCAGCAAGTTTTGGGCATCTGGCAGCAGTCGACCTGCTGCTAAGTTCTGGTGCAGACACCAGCCTAGCAGACGATGATGGCGAGACTCCCGATGCCTGCCAATGCTAGCATGGGTTTGCTCCCTTGTTGCGTCGGGGGGTGGACGGGGTCCGGTCGTCGTTCATTTGCCCTCCACGCCCCACGCTCGTGTGCATGTCTTCTGGTGCAAGGAAATGGCAGCTCTTGCTGGCGGGCACGAGGATGTTGCAAGACGGTTGCGGGCGCTGAGTGGCAGTGCAGTCGAAACCTGCAGGTGAACTCTCAGTGCGATTCGCTCAAGGCGGCGGTTCTGGAAGGATGCCGATCCACCTGCCATTCAGTCCAGGGCGAGCGTGAGGGAGTCCTTCCCAATTCTTTTGCTTCATTCCCTGTAAAGTAAGATAAGAGATTGAAGCAAACAGCTTTTGAGTGCAAGTTTTGAAATTGATTTCATCTGAAGCTGCGGAGCAGCCTGGGGCCTTCCCGGAGGCAACCTTTACCTGTGTCTCTCGCCCCCTAACCTGGACCGCTCGTGCGGCCTGACAGAGAGGTGTGTAGACCAGGTTGCGGAGCAACAGCTGTGCATGGCCAGCTGTAGGACACTGTAGAGTACGTAGAGTCGCTGTGGGAACCTGGTAAGGCCCGACACACGACCCAAGCACTGATGCAAAGGGGACATGGCAATCGTCTTACAAAACCAAGCCTGCTTTTTTCCATGGTCTTGCGTTCGTGGCCGCGCAGATTTCTTACAGATGGTGCCGCAGGCATGCAGCCGTGGCAGGCAATAGTTTACAAACATTAAAGAGAGGACCTAGACCTGGACGCCAGGCTCAAGGCAAAGGCTGAAGGCCAGGTCATGCAGAAAAGAATTTGGCGTTCCAAGCTGCATCGTACAATGGCAAGCAGTCTGGGCAAGCGCGTGCTGTCACAGACTGCGACAATTTCGTTGCGCATCATTCGGTTTCACGTTCTTCTGGACTCTAAGCCCAGTGCGTTTGCTGATCCGCAGGCAAAGACACATCTTGGCCAGCTGACCACTCGAGTGCGAGGTTGGATCCGTTAAAACTGCAAATTGCAGTCGCTGTGAATCCATGCCTGCCCTGAGCGAGTGTGCGAGTCGAATTGCTTCGAGATGAAGCTTCCGGCATGCAGGAATGGGTCAACAGTCGAAGGCGTAAAGCTTGGAAATTGGCATGTTGGGACAGCAAGGGACCAAGGGACAGGGACTCAAGCAAGTGTGAGTGAAGCTTTGGTGCCGAGGAGCTGCATGCGTTCATTGAACTCGAGTGCGAGCAAGAGGCTTGCTCGCATGGCTTCGAAGACCCTATCTGGCTTGAAGCTCTACGGCTGTAAGGGGTGGGTGTGGAGACGCTTGAAATCCTCATTCACCGGTCACGGAACCTGGGACTTGCCTTGCAGGCTGCAGCGATGGATGCATTGGGAGCGTCGGAGAAACGGCAAATGGAGGCAATGAAGGCTCAAGAACTCAGCTGGAGCGTTAATGTGCTGAGAGTGCAGGCGCTCGGCGAGATTGCAGTTCTGGAGAGCCACATGGGGGAGGCGAGAGCTGGACACAAGGTAAGAAATTCCAAGCTGGGAAGACGAGGCTCAGACAGAGGAGGCGCTGCTGGTAGACCTGGTTTACCGACAGGACACATCGGACGAGAGCTTTGGCAAGTTCTCTGTCTGGGCGTGTTCGTGCTGTGTGTGTGCGTCTCACTACCAGGTTCGGTTAACTTGCAGGAGTCAAGCAGCAAGGAAGCAACGAGGTCGAGAGCGGCTGGCTTAGCTTGAGGGCCGCTGCAACGGCCGGGTTGGTCAGCCGTCTTGCCGCCGCGTTCTCAGAGGACCATCGCAGAATGGCGGGTCATTCCCCTACGAGATGCCAGCCAAAGCCTCAGTCTCGGCAGGTTCACCAGAACAGGGAGCCAAGCCAAGGCAGCAGAGTTTGCAAAAATTGGCCCGCTAGAGTCTCTAGAGTTGTAGAGTTTCACTCACCTGGAGACACTGCAGCTGGGAGCTCAAGCCAAGCTGCTGCAGCCATGGGTGGCGCGCCATCCTTGATTCTACCGAACTTGTGGCTAGGAGGCCTGGGCTTTAACGAATGTAAGCACATGATCGGCTTTTCCAGCAAGGTTCACAGCTGGTGAAGTGTTTAGGCTGTTGAGGAAGCTGATGCACTGGAGACAACAGAGACGCGTGTTTGTAGAGGTCAAGATGTTTTGGACGACTTGGACTTTTTTCGAAAGAGTCTTGGCCGTCCGACTAGTATCCGAAAACATGTTCTGTTTCAAGAGGAGTAGATCAACGACAACGTCGCAACTTGAGCTTCTTCTCTGAAATGCACTAAGGAACAACATAACTTGCTGCCCGTCCGCACGATTGTATGCACTGTTGAGAAATGGGCTTTCTGCTACGCTAGGCCCCCAGGCAGAAGGTTCCCGGGCCTTTGCCTGGCCTGTTAAAGTCTCTGCCCTTTTGCTCTTCTGTCTGCATGGTTCAGGTCCATGCCGCGAAGCATGAATCGGTGAAAGATGATTGCATGTTGAATGAAAGTATACAGAATCTAGCTAGGCCTCTCGACATCCGCGCATGGACATTTGCACGCAGTTGCCTCTGGACAGTTGAGACTCTGGGATGGGAGGTGTGCTGTCTTTGGGTCCTGCGACTCCCTCGCAGCGAATCCGGCTGGCAGCGCGTAGCTCGGCAGAAGACGGAGCACAATCTTGGACGGGATTCGGTTATCGGGTGGTCCGAGAGCTCGTGTTGACGGTGCAGAAAGCCGCACAACGCGCAGAAGCTTCCATTCCCAAGCTTCCCTTTACATGCGTCAGAATAGGCAAGAGCGCGACGTTTCGAGAATGACAGTACTCAATACTGGGCAGAGCAGACATGAGAAAAAATTGAGGCGAACACGTGAACTTGCCGGATGTGCCAACTGCTGATCTCAGTGGCTTGCCGAACTGCTTGCGAGATCGCTGGAAAGCTCCTGTAGCTGCTAGTGCTAGATGGCAAGGCCTGAAGGCAGTGCCTGTGTCTTTCAGCGGCTTGACATTGACTGTGTTGCGCCATTCATGTCGAGTTCGAAGTACAGCCCGTGATAACAATAAATCAAGCAATATCGGAATAGTGGCTAGCGATCTGAGACAAATGAGCAGACAAATGCATGGTCAGGTGTTCACTTTCCAAGTGTCTTGGCACCATTGTCTGAGCACAGGCATGCTGGTCATTGATGGACAAGTTTTTTCTCAAGTGACGGCTTCTCCCTGGATCCTTCAGTCAGGAATCGTCCGCTTCATTTCATCAGCCCGGCACAATGGGCACTGTGTTTATGTCCATTGCGCTGCAGGCGCCTGCTGCATCTTCTGCTAGCAACCACGTCCGGTCTCACTTCTGGGATCACGTCCGTGGCTCGCACTGCTTCCAGGAATATCCAGAAGCTCCACATCGATCTGCGCATATCTCATGGCCCACCTGTGCCTTTGATGCAATGTGTCCTAGTTACTTAGTTACTGACTTTAGGCATTCAATACTTTGCTGGTTCAGGCACAGCCTGCTCGTAGGGCCGTAGGGGGTTGCTCGCCTATGGCCTATGGCAAGGAACATTCCTTTCGAGCAGACGCTGCAGTTCCTTTCTCAACGGCGCCCGGCGGTTTGCCCCAACGACGGCTTCCAGAGGCAAGCCCGGGATTGGAGTGCAAGAGATGTTAGACTGTTAGATGCTTGCGGTGCCTCTGAAGTTTCGAAAAGCCACACAACATCTCTGCGGCGGGATTGCAGTGAAGCGCAACGCCTGTGAGGCAGCTGCGAAGGTACGAGTCCTCCAAGGAGCGGCTCTTGCTGGCACAGGACGCCTTCCTGCCCACAGAGCGTGCCACCGGCTACTGTTTGAGAATTGCTCCTCCAGGAGATGCTCAAGGTTCCAGCCTACACGGAGCTACAGCGACAGGACTTGGAGACCGTGGCTGCATTCGCCTGGCCTTTCCAAAATTGCTTGATGCTTTCTGATGCTTGAGTCTCGATTTGCTTAGCACAGCCCGCAATCTGAGCCTAGGATGCGGTGTGGCAGGCAGGGCGGCGGTCCAAGAGTTTGGCCCCTGTGCTCTTTGGCACTTGGGTTCCAAGTGCCAAGCCAGGCCCTGAGCCAGCGCAAAGCCCGTGGTCGCTCCGTGGAGGCCGCGGCAAAACGTACTCCCAATCTTACAGGCTCCTCCCACTTTGCAACCTGTGCCATCAGGGCGGGCGAGCGACGCCGGCAAAACAGGCACAGGCAGCAGAACAGAGGCTCAACAGAGTCTGCAGGGCATGACTCGAACTTGCTTGGCTCCTTCCGCCAAAGCGCGCTTCAGTTTTCGCTTCTGGATGCAACAGGCTTCTGGCTGCGAGCTCACGAAGTCATCTAATTTACCATGTGATCTTTCTTCCTTGTGAAATTCTGAAAACCATCGCAACCATCACAAGCATAGTCGGCTGCGCGGTGTCTCCCGGTAAGGTAATGGTAATTTACTGCAGAGTAGTTTCTGCCAGCATCGAGAACCCACAGGGACTGTTAGAAGTCTTTTCATTGGCGCCCAGTCTCTTCAATGGCAATATGCAATCGTAAGTGCAGGCCAGTGCGACCTGGAAGCGGCAGCGTCCCCATCGACCAGCTGGCACGGCAAAGAGCACTGCAGGCTGTGCTTTGTGACCACTTTGCTTGACAGACTATGCAGAAAAGGTCGGACAAGCAAGGCAGTGTGGTGATCTGATTATCAGCGGACGATCAGGCTGTTCAAGCTACTGCACAGCGGCAGCCGGGCAGCGCAATTCGAATTGGCGATGGGTCGCAGCTGCTTGATCCAAATTGGGAGGCAGATGGCGAAAATTTGTTGTTTACTTTCTTTGCAGCTCGGCCACCCTCAGGGCCGGAGCGAGTCACAAGACAAATGGGTAAGTATGAAGTGCGATTCTACTCTGATATACTTGCTGGTTGATGTCGGCCCGTGTTTTGTTTCTGGTTCTTATAGACAGAGAAGGGAAATAGCAGAGTGAAGAAAAAGCCCGTAACAATTGAGGAGAGAAACAAAAAACACCCGTGCTTCGAGGCTCGGTTGCGAGCCTGCACAGGCAGCATCTACTGTAAACTGCAGCACTGACACTCCATGAAGCATGGTTTTTGCTACCTGAACTTGCTAGGCTCCTTCTTTCAAATCCACATCTACGGGGAGATGAGATAAGCCAAGCCAAGCCACTAGGTTTCGGAATCAGCACTGTTGTTACGACAGGCGATCTCACCAATAAACTGTACCCGGGCTGTACCTTTTTCTTTCCAGGATGCACTAATTAATTGACCCTTCTTATGCTGATTAACATCCTGGTAAGCCCAGAAAGTCGTCGGGATTTGTGTCAACATCAACATTCATCTAGAAAGCATTCAGTGAATATTACAGTCGAGAGAGAAGGCGTGAGATACGATGTAAGACGAACAAAGACAGATAAATGGAAAGGCAACGAGGCCAGCTGGCCAAGTCTGACACGATAGATAGACAGATAGACAGACAGACGGACAGATAGATGCTTTCTTGTTTTACGTCCTTGTCGCATGTCGTTTTGTTCCCTTGTGGCTCTTGTTGTACACATGGCTGACACCCTCGTGGTGTTGACTTTCTGGCTTCTTGGTTTTCTCCGGCTTGTCTTGGTGTCTTCGCTTCTCTGTCCCCCACCGTGCTGGAGTCCGTCTGCCGATCTGTTGCGCAGTCGTTAAAAAGGAGTGCGTCTGGTGATGCAAGCAGCCAAAGCAAAGTGGCAAGCACGCAGCTAAATGTCACCCCCTCCTTCTCGTATGACAGACATCGCTTCAACACGGGTTGGCGTCGGTCCAGGCACATTCAGCACTCACTCCAACAACTAAGGGTTGGCGATGCGGCATGGCTGCAGTTGAGCGGGAGGGCACTGGCCGAGTGATTGAGAGGCGCTGGGTTGGCTCAGCAAAGGTGGGGCTGGCGTGGCTCATGCCCCGTCGACGGAGCAGCACCTTGTCTGCAGCGGAAAAAGCTACAAGGTCTTCTGCAAAGGTGATGCTGAAAGCCAGTGGGATCAGCTTCCATTTGAGTTTTTATCAACCTTGAATGTGCCTGTCGCCTGCAGCTGGGTATCCGTGGCAGGCGCCAGCACAGCCACGTCGCTACCGCCTAGTGCAAGGCAGTTGCTGTCTCAATGATTTTTGCCTGCGTAGCTTAGCCGGGTATTGGGTGAAGCATTGGTTTTGTTAGGAAACGCCCCGTCCAACTCCCGTTGGTTCGGTGATGGCAGGCTGGGCCGGGCGAAAAGGCCCGTGTACTGAGTTGTCGGACCATGTCAGACCCAGCAGCCTCTGACGGACAAAGCTCTCGCAGTCTTGGGACTGCTTTAGGGTGTCTGAGCTCTTTGTCTCCCGAGAGTTTTAGCAGATTAGCAGTTGTGTCAGCATAGTGGCATAGTGAGCACTGCCTTGTGAAGACTTTGTTTTGTGAAGCTCTCCTGTGAGGTGACTTTTTCTGTTGCGTGCCAGCATTTTCAAGCGTCTCGTTGATTCAGCCGGCGCTGCACCTACACCCACCGTTAATGCGGTTTGATCGTTGTTTGCTCTGCAGCAACTAGCGGATCGTGCACTTACGATTTTGGATTCTCCCGGCGCTAAGTGAGCGCGTGTTGCCTCTTTCTGCCGCCACATGCATGAAGCACAGGGCTGAAGTTGCCGGTGGTGATTAGTTGAGTTGCGCTCGTAGTCGTAGCTACGTCAGGTGCCCGATGTGCTGTGCAACCTGGCACATGTCTTCACGGTGATCTTTAATATAGATGGAGCGATACTGACGGGAGCCCAAGGCTCAGGGAGTGCTCAAACAGGCAAGTGGACTAAGTGGACTGTATGAGCGGGTCATGGCTTGGTCCCTGCCAAAAGAAGCGAAGAGAGCGCAGGGTCTCGTTAACTTAACAAGCTCAGCAATTGTAGTCAGGTCTGGCACATGTGCCCAGCCCAAGTGCAAATTCGAACAACCATGCGCCAAGCCTTGCCCACTGCTCTGTCGGGTCGAATTGTTTCTCCTTACCAAATGTCAGAGAACTCGGAGAAGTGTTTCGGAGAAGTGTTTCAAGTTTCACACTGGCTGCAGGCTGCAGTGCTTGCGATCCTTCTATTGTACTGCGAATCGAGGGCTCTCCCGTTTTCAGGCATGGTTTTGGTTGAATGTGGGAGTCTCGCCAATCCAGGTTCGCAGCACATCGTTATTCCGTGGCACACATTGCCATCTCGCAAGTGCTGATGAATCACCAACTTGTACAAACAAATCCGGCGCGATGTACAACGTGTACAGTGGCAGTGCAAAGACATCCACAGACCAAGGCCTTGCTCTGTGACATTGGAGCAAGGCGCCTGCGATACATTTACATTGCTCGTCTTAGTGCTTAAAATTCGATGAAAATCGCTCTTGGAGATCGGCCGCTTGTGAAAGAGAGAAGCGGGCCGACCATAAACCAAACCGAGTCGAAGGTGCCAAAGTGGCTGCGCTGACTAAAAATGTGAAGCCCGATGCTGCAGGTGGAAGTCACTCCTTTTTCGTGCTAGTTCCCCAGTACCGGGCCCCATACCCCATTCGCACCCGGTCCAAGATGCTGGGAAGCTGATCTGGCCACTGCAGGAAGCTTGCAGCCGAGCAGGAGGCCGGAACCAAACTGCCACAAGCCATAGATCCACAGAGGAGCCGCCGGTGTAACAGGATCCGGGCCCGGATCTCACACTTCTGGCGCTTGAAAGGCACTGGAGCAAAAGCTTCAAAGAAGGAACTCAGAGTTCCAGCAGGCGAACGGGTGGAAAGTGGGTGCATCGTAGACTCTTCAACTCCATCAGTTCTCTTTCTTCCCAAACACTCCTCGTCGACTAAAATGCTGGCAAAGCCCTTTCGCATCGTCGTTGCGCCGTTATGCCTTGAAGCGTTTTGTGTTACGTGCCGAATGATATATGATGGTTGATCATCGCCAGGTGCGTGAGGAACAGGACCGCCATCACAGCGCATTCAGCTTGCAGCTTGGAATCGGCTGAGTGAGACAATTACAAATTTGTCGCCACGTGACCCCGCCTCGGCCAGTCCAAGGCAGTGTCAGGGTAGGTCGGCTGAGCAGGCTCACAGGGCTTTGCACGCCACACCGAGTCTCAGCCGCGTACCTTGAAGGCCAGACTAAGCCCTAAACCGGAAAATCAGACGCCTCGCTCGCTCGGACTGGTGCTGTGAGAGCCGCAACTTCAAGGATTATGAGACTTGAGGGCTCAGCTAGGATGGTGCGCGGCAGGCTGCAAGCTGCAAGCTACGCCCGGGGCGCGGGGTCGGGGGGTGAGACCGAGGTGGATCCATCGGGAAGCTAAGTGTTTCCCATCTACCGGGGCGACATTACATCTGCCATTGAACCGGGGTCTTTTGCTCAGCCGAGTCTTGATCGCGAGGAAGCCGCGATCCCCAATCTGGAGCACGAGCTCGAGGCGCCGAGCTCTGCACGTGAAGACTCCTACACTGTTCCGGGGCGTCTGCGGGGCCATCTGAGATTCTGGAAGCGGCCATCCAGCCGAAGCCTCGGATTCCTACAGGGCCTATACAGGCTATCATAGCTCATCACAGGTTCTTGCTGATGTCGACTTGACCATTGCACTAATCCAGCAAGGCGACCTCCTGAAGAGATGCATGCCGCCTTGGACGTGTGCTTCGGCAAGCGTTGGCTCGTCAAGCCAGCTGACGTCGGAGCCAACAAGCCAGGAAGCAAACAGCGAAGAAAGCCTGGGAGAAGAGAGTGAGCCTGGACTCCAGCAATGTTTTGATGCCGTGACGCCATGCCATCTTTCCATCTCTTGCCCAGCAAGGTGAGTTGGAATCGGAGCCGAGGCCTTACTTGACCGCGGAGTCACCTCCTTTCGCGGCTGGAAGGACGCAAATTTCTGGTACAAGTAGTTGGGAGATTTGCAGAGCAAATGCTGTTAGCATTGGCCGATGCTGAGACATCGTGCTGCCCATCGTCAGCGAGCCGAGCAGCAGCGCAAAACGGCAAGCTTCCCGAAGTGTGCATCGTCGTATTGGCACGCTCGCACCTGTCGTTTGCGGCCTCTGCTTGGCAGACGCTGCTTGTGGCAAACTGTCGTCGAGAAATTGAATCCCGCGAGGCACACTGCGTGGCAGAATCTCATCTGCTGGGACTGCTCACATGATCCCGAATTCCAAGCTGCCCAGGCTGCGGCGAAATGGAGCAGCGCTCAGTGCCTTGGCTCTGGGAACCAGAACTTGCGAACATGGGCATGACTTGTTTCAGCTTGGCTGTGCCGTAGGTGCTTGAAGCCTATGGAGACGGCCTATCAAGAGGCGCCCCGCAAGACATACCGACTTCCTGTAAGTTCAGAGCTGGTGGGCTTGGATTGACAGGCCCTGCAACGGTACAGCCAGAGGCAGAAGCAAATTCGCCAGTAGCCTGTTTTTTCTCTGCATGTTTTCGTAGCAGCATATGGCGCTGAGACTGCACTGTAGTGCTTCCTGCGCTAGGTCAGCATAAGACCAAGCAGCAGGTGGGCAATGCATTCAAAGTTACTTTCTCAGCTGATGCAAAAGCTTTCTTGTCCAGTCCTTTGTTCCCACCCAGCACACCCATTGATTGAGGTGCCTCTTCTCCAGCAGCTTGGTGCTCGGACAGTGCCCGGAACGTTTGCACATGATCACAGCGCGTTTCCGCAAAAGAATAACAGCCTGCCTGTCAGGCGAGCCAGCAAGCCACAAGCCATGGAGGCATCGCGAGTGAGCGCAGTATGTGAGGCTTCGCAGTAGACAAATCTGCCATAGTGTTCAGGCACGTGATGCAACCGGCCCAGCTCTCGGTTCCATGTCACAGCAGCGACAGAACACTTGCCTCGCACGCCACCGCCTGCGATCGCCTGCGCAGGGTTCAACAGGCACGTCCTTCAGAGCTAGTTGCTGGGCGGGATGGGTATGAAGAGCTACAGTTACAGATTCGACCAACAAACCATACAGGCACAGGCGGGGCAAGGAGTAGCAGAAAACAAAAGAAAGGACGGATGAAGGGAAAAGGTCGTACTTTGACAGTTGTTGGCGTCCTTTGATTCTGTCGTCCGATTATCCGCTGTCTAGAGTGTTCCCACTTGCTGGTTCCGAAGATACTCATTATGACCGCACGCTGTCACTTAAGTACAGTTTTCAGGCTAGCCAGAGCATCCTCAGAACCAGAGCAACATTTGCCAGCATACTGAGCGTCACAATTTTCATCCGTGGCCGTGCCGCAGAATTTTCAAGTAACGTGGGTGGGCATGAAGTGCAAGCTACACAGTGGAAAGAAGCCAGAATGAGCCGACGCAGAAGTGGCAGGTTGAATCGGAGTTTGTGTTCGTGTGTGTATTTTTTGCGTGTAATGTATATATATATATATTCTCCGCTTTGTGAGTGTGTCTTGGTGAACTTGGAATAGTGGGGGGAGCTTTCGACGGAGCTGCCACACTGAATTCTGGCAGCTTCTCGCCTCGTCAGCTAGGTGTTGCCTGCTATGCAGTCGCCAGACTCGCCATGCGGGAGCCAAAAAAAATGTTTATTATATGATGTATGTGTGTGTTTGTGTGGGTGTGGGGGATGTTGGGCTGAACAACCTCTGAATGCTTCTCAACCGAGGTCCACAAGCCACCGCCACCGCCGCCACCACGCCTGGAGCTCATCGCAAAGTCACTGGCAACGGAGCTTTGCCGTTCGTAAGTTTTGTCGAAGCGTGCCCTTCGTATGTCAGAGATCTGGCCTCAGGCTTTTGCGGCGATGCAGCGTGTTGCGCTTCGACGAGGCTTGAAGCACGTGTCCAAAATCAGTGCAACGGTTCCGATTCTTGGCTCTGCGAGTTCAATCTCAACAGACGGCTTGCCAACGACATCGGGCCTTCACCTGCCAAGACTACAGTTTTGTCTGTTGACTCACAGTCCGGCTGAAGGTGGCAGGAGGGTTTGACACCAGGAACGGACTGTACGAATGCTGGAAGGGGTGATCCGGGTCAGAATCTGCGCACGCTGCCAGGCTCAGCAGAGGAGAGAAGTTGAGCGCTGGGGGGATCGCGAGCAGCGGGCTGCCTTGGCCCGAAGTCTCGCAGTCTCTATATCAAATCAAGCTGTGATTTGGCTCGAACTGATCCTTGCGCTTCCAATGTTCTGAAAGTCTTTTGATGCACCTCAGGCTGCGGAGCTACGCGAAAAAGCACAGTCGGCTGGCAAGTTGCGAGGCTTTGGGGGTATATGTGCCTTGGCAAACGTGGCTTGCCTCGTCTTGTTCTGCAAAGAGCAGCAGAGACACTTCTACGGCCTGCATGTGAGCTGCGTCTGTAAGCGCGAGTGGACAGTGTTTCTGGCACATTGCTTGGCTCACGCTTTCACCCAGCTAGAGTATTCGAGCCTTCGCTTGACCTTCGTTTGCACTCCTGCGGTGCCATGGAGAATAAGGCCTGGGGAGTTAGATGCTGCATGTGGTGGAATGCCTGCAGCTCTTGAGTTGGCAGTTGGAGAAGCTCCGCAGACGCTACCCTGCGCACGTGCCGGTAATTTGTGACGCTCTGCGGCAGTGAATTCGCTCGTCTTCTGCGCATGATCCTGCATATGCGTCGTCCACCAACAACCATATTCTCGAGTTAGCTTGAAGTCTCAGCCCATCTTCGGATTTTTGACAGTCCCTTCGAGGTGCACAGCCGAGATGACAAGAGGGAGCAGAAGCTAATCGTGCCCAACGACACAACAGGCCAGAACTGCGACAGAGTAGACAAATAGGGAGTGCAGGGTCAGCAGGGAATACTCAGAAGCTGTGATCGCGGCGGTCAATTCCTTGGGCACTTGAAACTACGGAGGTATGCCCCATGTGAGTTTTCCGCTGACCTGCTTGCTGCAGCGTTATGCGCTGGCATCTGTTTTGTAATCGCCAGGTGCCGCGTGCCGGCCTCGCTTCTCATGCGTACAGTGCGTAGCAGCATTGCGAAGCATAGAAGCGTCCGGGTTGTGAGAGATGTTGCTAAGGTTCCTGGACATAGCTCGTGAAAAGTGTGCGTGGGCCGTGCAAGGTGGCAAAGTCTTGCTATGCAAAGGCCAGTCTGTCGTCCAAACATTGCATTGTAACATAGATGTATTGATTTGGGCCATAGTATCCCCAAACTATCGCGCTGTGAACTTGACCTGCCACCAGGCAAGGGCTCGACCACGATGGAGGTGCCAGGAGAGAGGACGATGAAGCAGTTGGATTCTATGTTCAAGGCTTGGCGCCCGAGAATCCAGCAGCTTCCTGGCACTCTCTTGTCATGCTCGTTGGTGCTAATGTGTGGTGCATGAATGCTGATTGATGCTGCTGATATGCCTCTACTAAATTGCTTGTCTGCACAAGCACTTCCAGAAGCCATCCTGTTTGAAGAGGCACCGGACGGAGCGCTGTACTTCAGGGTGGAAGCTGCGAAGGATGGGTTCCTGCTTGGCCGTGTTTTCATACACCGGTCCTTCTCTCTGTCGTTCTTTCTTTTTCCTCTCTCCCTCTGACCTTTCTCTCTCGCGCATGTCTACCAGATTTCGAAAATCGGGGATATGAGAGGAAGAACAGCGCGGCCCTGAGCCGAGTGAGAGCCGAGTAGAGGTGTAAAAGTGCTGGCGTTCGCTCCTCCACGTCCACGTCCGCGCCACACTCGTCCCTGCTTTGGGGCCCTTATAAGGGTTACCGAGCTGCAACCACCTGAATCTCAAAACATTGGCCTTTTCGGAAACCTTGTTCTCATCTCACCACAGGACGCGGCAGAAGGGCCTCAAGAATTCAAGATGGACGAGGCAGTCCCACAGGAGCAACCGTGGTCCGCTAGCGTCTGCCCAGTTCCATTAGTGGCCTTCTTGTCTCATTGTGGTGGACCATTCTTTCAAAACTTTGGTCCTCCAGGATCAGAAGAAAGTAAAGGCCAAAAAAGTGGCGATCTCCGACAAGGATTCCAAGGATGACATCGCTGAAAAAGCCCGACGAGTTCGCATGTTCCCCGGCTGCACTCGAGAGCCTGAGCCCGAGAGTACCGTAGCCATCGATTTCCCCACGGCACTCCTTCAGGAAGCACCCAGACCGCGTTCCAGTGCTCATCAACCAAGCAGAAGCGCCAGGACCTCTTGCCCTGCACGCAGGGCGATTGCTTCATATTGCTTCCACACCGTCCCTCGGTGAAGGATTGCCTGCCCTGGACAAGAAGCTTCTCATTCCGAAGAGCATGACGTGCAAGGATTTGCGCAAGACTCTCTGGCATGAATAATTGCAGCAGGTTCCTAGATCAACGTGGCGTGTCCCAGCCCACTGCCGGTTCAAGCACGGCGACACTGCTCTCCTATCTCAGGATTCTTCCAAAACATCTGGGCTGCGGGCATTTGGACGTGGACTGGAGCACCGTGCGGCTCGGCACGACCATGTTCCAGACTTTGGCATGCTCCAGCAGTCCAAACAGCATTTGATCGTGTGGACTCGCATCATGCTGTCGCCCCGCCCAGCATGTGTTTGGGCCAAGCTGCGTTTGTGGTGCTACGCGGCCTGCCTTTCCCGGCCTCACCCTAAGGATCTTTCAGCTGGCTGGTGTAGATGTCGAGGCAAGGGCCGGCAAGGGCACCCTGCTTCTCCCTGCTCTCTGCTGCATGCCGAAGATACAGTAGCTGTAAGAAGCGGGCGAGTTTTTCAGGATGCTTGCGGCTGCCGGGGAGAGCCTGCCCTGATGCACTTCAGGAGCACGAGCTAGTCTCAGATGTCTACGCTCGTTGCGTTGCTCCAGACGACGAGGGAATTATGCTCTCTTTGGAGCTGCCGTTGCTTGCTCAGCGACTGCAGATTCTTCGAAGGCTCACTTGACTCGCTGTCTCTGCGCTGTAAGGAGCGAGGATGTTCCTCCACTGGCCGCACGTGGTGGGCTCAGGACACTCGATGCGGCGCGATGGTCAATTACCTGTTGCCGGAATTATGCTAGGTGGTTTTGGCCAATCGCCTGTGCTAAGGTGATGCAAAACCTCCTGAGCTAGCCGAGGACACATTTTTTCGCAGGCACTTTCAAGCCCAACAACAAGCTGCAAGGACGTCAGCTTCTCACCACCTTCAGCCGAGGAAAAGACGATTTTTCGACACGGAAAACTGTCAAGGCAATAGAGCTTCAAGCAAATGAGCCAGTCTTGGTTGGATGCGCAGTCACTCCCCAAGGACCGTATCACATGCTCCCATGATTGGCCTCGTAAAGGCAACGTGACAGCTTCTGTACTGTGCAGTGAGTGCAACGACCGGTGGATGCAGCGAGGGAATCCTCATAGCTGTAATCTGCACCCGTACAGGTCAAGAGCTGCTCGGGATGAAGTCTGTTTAGTGAAGCGAAGTTAGGGGACAGTCAGTCTTCAGTTCGTGACAGACGGCGCAGTGAAAGCATTGGGGACCATTTCAGCTATCGCCGCTGCGCCGGCTCTCATGCAGGAGCTGCGAGTTCTGGAGCAGCAGCTGATTGAGGTGAACGTCGCTTTCGGAGAGGCCGATGAGAAATCCTGCGATCAAATGTCAGGATGTCAGATCATGTGTCCCTCGGCATTCTCTCTCTCTCTCTCTCTCTCTCTCTCTCTCCTATTTTCACATTGACTGCAATAGGAACCTGTGGACGAGCCCTGAGGCAAGAAAGGCGCAGCAGGTTGCTGCCGACAAGTTGGCCGAAGAGGCATGCCGCGATCTGCTATCCGAGTGTCTTTAGCAGGAGGTACAATCCCAGTGAATCAGCAAGTCGCAGAGGATTGTATTATAAGTATAATTAATGCACAGCTCTAGACTCCAGACATGCAGCCGATTGGAACTGCCCATGATGGTTTATTGTCGACGCCACACAGCAGGATGTGGACTTTGTTGTGACGGCAGTAGGCGTCGGTTGAACCGCAAGAGCATGCTATGTGCTCCGAGGCTGACTTGCCGAAAAGGTCTTTCTTAAAGACACATTGACATTGTCAAGTGAAGAATGCAAGGCTTAGGCAGTGGTGAATCCGGTGGCTGGTGGTCCGAGAGTCTTACTAGTGTTTGTCACACTAAGTCAGTGGCCTTGGTTCGCCGTGTGTTGCGCTTTGTCTTCCTGGACGTGCGGTGATACTTGATGGTCTGCACAGCAGCAGGAAGAGCGCGCCTGGGCGGCGGAAGAGACGCCTGGCAGATTGAGATGCATCTGACACTTATGAAGGCTGTTGCCGGCATTGGGGGTATATGCAGGAATAGTCAATGAAGGGTGGCAAAGCCTTAATTTAGATCTCTTTGGGGACTGGGTCCTGGTACCACGACCTATGATCATGCAGCTCCGGTGTTGTGGTTGGGGGAGCTCTCCAGATGCATCTCGGCACGGCATGCTCTGTCGTCGCCGACAAACTGAGGAGGGCGCTGAAAGCCGACCAGGAACTGGCGATGCGATGCCAGGTGCAGGGTGCGCCAGATCAGCTAGCCTAAGTGCGGTGCCAAAGCTACATTCATAGGTAAGGCAGCTGGCAAGGTAGCCGCGGCAGCTTTTTTGGATAGAGCAGATGCAGGGCAATTCGACGGAAGTCGCTCCGCGCCAGCAGTTCAATGAAGCCTAAGGAAAGTTATAAGCGAACCGACCAGGCGCACAAACACGAAGCGGAGGCTTTCCGGAGCGAGGTTGCAGAGGCAACTGGAATGTCTACAACTCGGAAAGAATCAGTCGTTGGCTGCGACAGGCCAGGCAAGCTCGGGAGGCTTTGGAGTCGAAGCTGGCCAAAGGAACAGAGGAAATCGATGCACCACGGCTGATGGAGACCCGTTGAAGAAAGCCTTATGTCAAGCTCGTTCAGGCATTGCGGCTGCATGTGGACTGGCTGGAAGATGCCCTTCAGAGCGCCAAGCAGGCGAGGAAAGCCTCGGAATGTCAACTGCAGGTCCCTTTGATGTGCTTTGCAGGACTCCAGCAAGATGGCAGAGCTGCAGAAAAGCCTTAAGGAATCGCAAGAGGCTTTGGCAGTTGAAGCCAGGAAGAGTCACGCTGCACAGGCACCTCGAGTCGACTCCTGTTTTATATGGACACCGGTGGAAAGAGTTGCCTGTCACTGCCTCCTGCTTGAGCCTAGTCTTCACCGTTGCAGTGCAATTTGTTCATGTGTAGAACTCGTGTAGAGAGAATGTAGTCGGGTAGTTTAGTCAGGAGCTGTTTCCAGAAAGCATCACTGCATTGATAGGTCAATGCTACACGGGACTCAGGGCACGGGTGATGGGCGGGTTGAGTCTCTTCACGTGATGCTGGTGGCAGTTGCTTCATATCGAAGCGAATGGCCAGAGCAAGTCACAGCCGGTCCAGGAGAAGCTCAGCCAGCTGGAGGAACAGTTCCAAGAAGCAGCTGACAAAGAGGCGAAAGCCATGAGAACGTCCCTCAGACGGCAGCTTGGGGGTACTAGCATGTTGGGGTCGAGAAGACCCGAGTGAATCCGGCTGGTTGCTTTGCAAGATGCATCCTGGTCACAGAGAGGTACGCGGCCAAGGAGAGGGGTGCGGAGGAGCCCTGATCTGTGCACGGTGACCATCCAAACTGCCCAAGCTGCAGCAAATGCATTGCCTTTCATGGGCAGGAGAAAATCCGCAAGCTTGAGGATTCCCTTCGTGCGGTTTCCGAGAAGCTGGTCGAAGTTGAGCACGAGAAAGCACAACTGGAAAGGCCCGGTGGCTGGTTCTGATGCCCATGGTTTCTGTCGAGTTGATTTCTCGACGGTTTTGGTAATGTGTCGGGGAAATTCAAACCCGGAATAGATCGGGATAGGTTGTCAATAGCTTGCGAACACAGTGTCGCAGCCGGAAGAATCGTGATGTGCTAAATGCAGTGGCGCAGTGGGTCCATTGGTCTGCAGACCTGGTTGGGCTCGGCCTTGCTGATGTTCTGGGGCACTGCCGATGTATACATCTTACCAGCGAGCATCACTGAGGGCCCAACATTCAGAAATCTACCTAGTGGACGATGCCGGAGGTCACACAGCCAATAAAAAGATTTGTTCCGGTAGCAAGTCAATCTTCGATACGCACTAAAGAAGGTAGAGGGCCGTACACGACAAGGTGTTGAACGTCCAGTTAGCGCCGAAAGCTTGGAACATCTGTGTGCATGCGTTGTTGCTACCAGGTGGTGGGGTGCCACGGACATAGCAAGGTTCATGCAAGACGGCGGGATCACGACGTTTAACTTTGCCAGCAATCCGACTTGGATAGAAGAGCAGCGGGATCACACGCTTACAGGGAAAGGTTTGAAACACCTTCGAAACGCCTTGAACTTGGATATGATTCGCTGTGTGTAGAATCTGTTTTTGACTTTGGCATTCTTGGACTTGCAGATCGACTGGACCACAGTGAGTGAGTCGAGGGTTGGGGAGTTTGCGGGATGTTTTCTTGTGAGTCAGAACTGAACCACAAGTAACGCGACTTGAAAACGCGATCTCACGGTTTGCGTGCAGGGAGACCGAGAAGCAGCACCGCAATCCCGATGAAGCAGTAAAGAAGCTCAAGGACCCGCGGCTCAAGCACTTGCAAGTTCTCGCAGATTTCTGGAGTCTGCTCGCCCGGCCCAGGATACGGTGCTGATCCTGAAGGACACGCTTTCCTGCAAGGAGGAAGACATCACCGCCAAAAACGCCCAAGTTGTGGAAACCATGCGCTGCGGGCTGCATAGAGAAATGCAGCTCACTACAGCAGGTCCTGACGGCATAGTCGAGAGAAGCACTTCTGGTGCTGCAGGGCATGCCTCAAGGCCGTTGAGGCCGAGAACCGACGCTTGCAAGCCGAGCTAGAGGCTGCGTGCAGCCGCGTCTTTTTGCAGTGGCTGATAGTGAATAGTGGCTGTATGGGCACTCTTCTAGCAGGCAGCTGCAAAGGAAACGAGCAAGCTTCAGCAAGACCACGCCTTTGCCAAGGGAGAGGTCGGTCACAGGCCGCGCAAAGATTGCTGCCTGCTCATGTGGTCGGGTCAGGTCGATAAGCTGAAGGCAAAAATGCAGAAGAAGGCCTGTGCCATTGAAGACAAGCTCCATGCAGATGCTGGAAAGTGCCGTCATGCAGGGCCAAGGTCAGTGTTTACTGCCGTCAACAGGACACAGAGGAAGATTTCGTCAAACTTGGCTGGAACAGTGATGACGAAGTGGAAGAGGTGACAGAGGCCGGTATTTCGGATTCTGGGTCACGGGTTCAGACGACCTGAAAACCTCTTTGCTGCGGAATGCCGGCCGACCCACGACGGCACATACAAATACCTGTAAGGTATTTAAGGCTGTAATGGTTAAAGCAAGTGGCAGAGTTCTTGTCGGAAGACCTGGCATCACGTGGTTTACACTGCAGTAGTTGGCGAGGTAGGCGGCTTGGTGCAGCATGAGAAGCCGTGATGGATATTGCCACATGACTCCTGCTGCGTGACCTGGCCCGAAGGACTTCGGCTTCCAAAAGGTGTACAGCGCTTCAGCGGCTTCTGCATGAGTTTCCCGGAAAGAACGGAGAGATGCCGGCAGTGGTGCCTGAATTGAATCGTAGTGGTCTGAAGAGTGAGATTTACAGTCACGCCTGCTGCAATGGCAAGTCTTGGATTGGATGCAGGTGCCTGTCCAACGCTTTTGAGTGCGTTACAGCGGCCAGGGACGTCGCCGTGGTTGGTAGCCAGGTGATCGTGTTGTGCAGTCCTTCTCACCTGTTCCAGCACCGCGTGCAATCTATCGCGCTTGGCTTTGGCAGTCTCCTGGGTATCTTCCACAAGCTGCAATCAAGTGAAATTGCTGGCCAAGAAAAAAAGGCACCTGCTGCGGACAGAAGCCTGCTACGGCCAAGATTTCCAGGGAGCTGATAGGAGGCTTTTAATTCAGATCAGACGTGGGCACCTTCGAGCCCACTGTCCTCTGCCACGTCCTGGAGGCATTTTTTGTTTCATTCGCAGAAACCAAGGGTGATATTCAAAAGCCCTGCAGCTCCCGTCGTGGGTGAGTGTCTCCTTTGCACTTCGCCCTCACCGAGTACCTTGAAATCCAGTTAGTGCAAACTCCGGTGATGCTCGCAGAAGCAGGCACCCGCCAAGAGTCTAGTACAGGCACCTCTGGCGCTGCACGGAAAACCGTTTGCAACACCTGTGTCGAGAAGCTAAAGCATGGGTGCCGCTTTGTGTAACATTGGCGAGGCAATTATATGGACCAGGCTGACGTTCAGATGGCATATTGGAGAGACTGCCACTTGGAGAAAGCTATTCTCGTCTTCGCCAGTAGATCCTCATGACATCTCATGACCCTCCCTTGCTGTCAGGCGTTGACAGCCTGCGCTTGGTTCCGAGAAATACAGGGTTTTCAGAGGCTGCCGGCTGAGAGAGTGCTTGAAAGGCCGTGAAGAGACCTGGCTTGTGGAAGAGTGCCAGGGCCCCATCCGTCTCATCATGTCTCATCATCCATCATTGTCCCATAGCCGCCATTCTGGGCACCACAGACGTTCAGCATCTCACCACAGAATAATGAAGCGCTCACTGATAGTCAGGTCGCACCTCGGAAGTGGAGAACGAGGTCTAGGAGTACAGTGCAACTGCCCCGAAACACACCAAAATAAGCTCAACCTTGCCTGCAGGCGCAGGAAGGGTCTCAGATGCAAGCAATCCGCCAACTGCAGCAGGCCCGCCGGGGCCCGGCCGGGCCCCTGCCAGCGCGAGATCCGGGCGCCAGTCACGCGGTCACGCGACGTTGCGAATCATTGCGACCCATGGCGGCGCAGGAGCTCCGGAGCAGCGAAAGCACCGGGTGGGACTCTGGGACTCTCTCGGTGTTCACCGGTGCCACTGTGCCACTGCCCCGACCGTTTCCAGCCCTGCAGGCGGAGGGCCTGAGATGGCTCTGAGAGCAGCGCACAATCAGCTAATCCCTTCTCCCTACGTGTAAGCAATATAAACTCCCACCCCCGGAATTTCGCGGCTTCGGGCCCACAATTGAAAGTCAGTTTTAAAACATGAAGGGGCGGGTTTCTAGGATTGTGCTAGTTTTCATAGAGCCAAGACCACAGCAGTACTAATCAGCCCGAAAGCACTAGAGCTTTCGGGTTTAGGGATTGACAGCTTAGGGCTCATTAAGTCTAGGGCTTAGAGCTTTCGGGCTCAAGGTTTAGAGCTTAGAGGGTTTAGGGCCCAAGGTTTAAGGCTTAGGGTTCATGGGCTCGGCTCTAAAACCGGAACGGCTGTGTAGGAAACGGTCGTTGTTTACTTGTCTGACTGTCTGACTCAATAATTTAACTGTCAATTTGACTCATGCCCGGATGCCCCGAAACCACCCGAATATTATGTGTTTTTCTATTTCAGAGGGGCGGAGCGTTATAATAGTAGGGGGGAAGGATTACTGATTACTGCAGGTGCAGGAATGTTTTTTTGTTTTGGTGGTCACTCTTGTCCTTGCTTCCAGCTGCAAAGTCACGGCACGATGGCAAGACTCTGAGCTTCCTGGAGAAAAACTCGCTTGCTAGCTGTGCAAGTTACTCTGCCTTTGCCACACTGCTAGCGGCTTGCAGCGTCTTGGTCTCGCAGGCTCTTCTCGCTGAGATGGTCCAGAAGCAAATTGCACCGGACAACAAAACCCACTCACTGAGGATTTCAGCGTGAGCCGGATGAAGAAGCTGTCCTACACTGCTTCCATGGAATGCTGCACGGATCACACATGATGAGAATCTCCTGGCCGCCTGGGCAGGTATGCCAATGCATGCCCGAAGCGTGTGGAGGCTACTCGAAGCAAGCGACGCAGCTCCAAGCCAAGCGTCTCTTACCTCGATTCCTCCGTGTGTTGGCCAGTCTTATTGCCAGGATGCGCGCCGCGCCTTCTCGGAGTTGCCCCGAACCTATCAGCTCGAGTCCAAGGGTGCAAATCCTAAAGCCGCCTCCAAACACCTCTCTGCAGCGTGATTCTCAAACGAGACCAAGGATGGATCCCTGGGTGAAAGCTGCCATGAAGCGCTGCTTGGGGCCCCAGGCAGGATGACTGTGAAAGATGTGGGGTGGCTCTTCAAACTCTGTCCGCACCCGGCCAGGCTGCAATCGAGCTGTTCGAGCGCCAAAGCCGTGCTCGTTTTTAGCAGCCCAAGACCTAAGTCTTATGCCACGCGGCTCAGCAGCTTCGTGCAATGCAAAAATTTAAAATTGACGAAAGCGCGCAACGGCTTGCACCTGTGTAGTTCTTGATGCTGCCCTCATCCATGCTGATCGCGCTGCATGGCTCAGTGGTTCAGCAAGCTACCAGAGTGAAAGTACTTGCCAGAGTCAGAGTTTTAGTCCTACCAGGCAGGAATAAAGACGTACCAGGCTGATGGTGGGCCCTCATCCTCAAGGGCCAACGCCCCTGCGCAAAAGCCTCGCTTGAATGGGCATGTCTCGGTGATATGCATGTGCTGCACGTGCTGGCCTTCTTTGCCATCTCCGCTGCCGACTTGCGCAGAGTGCGTCTTCGCAGTGGGGAGTATCCCGCAGCGATTTCCAGTCAGGATGTGGACGAAACCCTGGCCCGTGTGGGTGGACTGGGAGGCAGTCCCATGCCAGCAGGATGCCATGCATGGCTCCATCGCCCAGAGGCTCTGAAGAATGATAGTGACTTCCATCCGATGAAACTTCCTTCCACCGTCCTGATTCTCGCAGGCCCAGTGGGCCTCGTGGGCTTTGAGCAACTGTTAGATTGGACAGCGAGAAGCGAGGCAAACGACCGCTACGTACCGGATCACCGGAGATACAGCCGTGGTGGAAGTTTGTGGGCATTCAACTGGCAGCTTCGAGGAGAAAGCACTGAAGAGCTGGCAGATGGTGAGCAGACCACCTGGCTGGGTCGTGCTTTGTCGCTGGTCGCGGCAACCAGGGCCATAGCAGAGACTTCCAGTCTTTAGTACAATTTCCAGTCTTTAGCATTAACTCGGGCTCAGACAGAATGTGCCAATCAAGGACGAGTGGCACAAGGGTGGCGTAAGCAAGCATTAATTAACATGAAAAGGCCGCAGGTAGCAGGTCACGTCTACCAATTCCGCAACTGGTTCTGGATGTGCAGAGTCTGCAGCGGGAGCTCTCACACCGCAAGTAACAAGCCGCGCAAAGCCTCGTTAGTAAGAACTAGAAAAGAACTGTGAATTCGCCGACGACGTGGCCTGTCCTGTACAGTAAGGACAGAGAGAAGCCTCCTTTTGAAGCGCTGGCAGCTGCTCCGTGGTGCTTGGACTCCAGCTCTTGGCTGGAGATCATCTTGCTGGGATGGCAGGGAGTGCTCCATGCTCAGGGCTACAAAAAACTTGCGCCCATGCCCAGCTCGGAGTTTTGTTGCATCGTACAAGAATGCTTCCTTTGCGAGGTTCGTCGCGCTGTCGCTTCTGGCAGAAGAAGTCTGCCATTCCTCCGTCGGAGGTTGCGGGCATGCGTGGGAGACTTGGCTGAATGTATGGCTTCCCGGAGTATTTTTGTAATCTTTCGTGCGCGATAACCCTGCATGACTTCGTCGTACGACTCGGTTCTTGCTTGCTGCGCTCCGACTGTCCACCGCACAGACCGATTGCAGCCCGAAACCACAACCAAACCTTCAAACCCGCACCAAGACCCATGACCAGCGCACCAAAACGACCCCAACTCTCACCAAGAAGTTGCTGCAGTCACCAAGCTTCCAAACCACAGACTTGGCAAGAACAAGCGGAATACTCGCAGCTGCACAGCGACACAACGGTCGAATCCTTGACAACCCAGCTCCTTCTCAGGATGGTGTCGTGGTGTACCAAGACTTACCGCTAGTGTCCGTAGTGCCGCCTGGGCAAGTCTTGGTCATTCACGAAGCAGACCAGGCTCCTCTAGAAGCCATTGCAGGCCGATAAGTGTTCGGATGGAAACCCCCAGCAACTGTTTCTTAGCTTGGTACAGCAGCAGAAACATGAAGTCCTAGCCGATGTCCAGCCATGTCCTCAGCTGCAGACGAGCCGTCGGCCAAGGAGACGCAGACATTACCACCACCTTCCCATGCTGCGCATTCGTTGAAACGTTTTGAAGCTACTTGCTTTGCATGGTCTTGGCAGGAGCTTCGACAATGGCGGCGACGCAATGCGCTCTTGCATCCTGAGGCATGGCTTCCAGGTTTGTCTCTTCTGAAAGCCACCGCGCCGACATGTCCTTGCATATTCCAGATCTTGATCTTGACACTTGTGCTCCACATGGTGATTGACTTCGGTCAGGGAGAGGAGGCCACTGAGAAGCTTTTGCGGCAGGCCAGCACTCGGAGTGAGGCAACAGACTTCCACCTTTTCGGGTTTAGGCTTTGCTTGCCACTAAACATGTCCTGTGAGCACGAAGCTGGCTGGACATGCGCGCGCTGCAGCTGGGCCGGATCGAAGCGCCAGAGTCTCTGCGCCGCTGGGCTTTCTGATCCGAAGGCACGAGGTCAAGCCAGGCAAATCAGGTCAGATCAGATCAGGTCAGGTGAGATCGTATCAGATTCAAAAGACCGCGGCTCAGATCAGACAGTCCAGGTCACAGCAAGTCAGGTCAGGTCAGGTCTGCTCAGGTCAGCTTAGGTCAGCTCAGGTCAGGTCAGTGCCGGTCAGATCAGATCCTTGTTGTGCGTGCTCTTCCGAGGTGACCGGGAATGGAAGTTCCGGAGGACAAATTCATTGACGTTTGTGTTTGCTCCTGTATCCACATCCGGTCCAAGGTTCGTAGCCTTTGGTCGATAAAGCACAGTCGGTCGAGAACGTCGGCAGTGTAGATTCCAGAGATACTTGACACTTCTGTTCGAGTGTGGAATCGGTCATGGCAACGACCGCCGGACATGCAATGCTCTCCGGGCCGAGCGAGCAAAAAAAATTGGCGCATTTGCATTTGTTTTGGTGCAGCCCCCGTCGGCTAGGTGCGTGTTCTGCTCGTTTGGTGCGTGTTTCGGTTGTTTTGGTGAGCGTTAATTTTTGCAACCCGCACAGACCACCCGACGTCTCAAACCTGGAGACCAGTATCACTATGAGCTACTGAAGCTCTAAGCCCTCGCAAGGCAGGGTTTGTGGCAAAGGACTCAGGTGTTTTGAACTTCTCTCCAGGCAACCTTAGAACCTGAAGCCGGCCCGAGCCCTCAAGCAGAGCAAAAACATGTAGAGACAGCCAGATGCATGGTTTTTGTAGATCTGCCCAGTCATTCAATTTCTTACTAATCGCACGCTGCTACTTCTAATGACTCTACTGACCTTTTTCTCGCCGCATGCACGGTATCGAAATTTACAACAGTTGAACGAAACATGAAGAGCTGAATGTGGGTCACCGCTGTTGCAGAGATCCCCAGGAAGCAGATCCAGAAGATCGAGGCCAGGCAAGCCAACAACTGGGGCAAACAGTCAGATGAAAGCAGATCGGATTGATCGGGTCATGAAGCCACGAACCCGGGCGTTTGGATCCAAGATACTGTCATGCAGCAGGTTCCAGCCATGCGACGTTTCCCTGCGCTGCCCGTTCGGCGCTGGCTACCTGTCAGTTTCATTGCCGCGAGTTGCCTGGTGTGCTCTGAGATCTCATTCAGCGAAGGCAGTGCTGCGAGAAGCGCCAAGTGCTCAAGCTCCAGCACCAGTGCTGTCACTCCTGGCCGAGCTACTGCGCGGCTGCAGCCTCTCAGAGGCAGCTGCCACCAATCTTTGCCAACAGTAGGACAGCTCATGCACTGGTTTCTGTACTGCATGTGCTGGTGCACGTGTTTGTGATCATTGTTTGCGCATGTGTGCATGTCTGTCTGTTTTTCTGCCTGTGTCTCTATCAGAGTGTCTGTGTCTCTGTATATATACATATATCCTGCATGCATGTATTTCTGGATGTATGGATGTATGTATCTATGTAGCTGTGCATGTATGCATGTATTTACGCATGTATGTGTGTGTAGACACCTGAACATGGTGTAAAAGAGGACCACCGTGGAGCCGTGGTCAACGAGGACCCCTGCGTACCTGCTGTCGCGGGACCCACGCCGTCGCGGATAATCTTCGTTTACAATTTGTCGTCTGGTCCTGTTGGACGCTGGTCGCAGTTATTCCTTGCCCAGCATAAGTGGGTGTATGTAACGTCATGTCATGAATGTGTATATGTGTGTGTGTGTGTGTGTGTGTGCGGGTATGTGTGTATGTATGTGTCTGTGTATGTATGTCTGTGTAGATATGTGTATGTACGCGTATGTATGTGCATGTATGTATGTATGTGTGATTGTCATAATCACATAATGTGTTTCCGTGTATGCACGCATAGGTAGCATATGTATGCATGCATGCACGGATGGACGGCTGGCTGGCTGGCTGGCTGGCTGGCCGGCTGGCTGGCTGGACGGACGGACGGACGGATGGATGGATGGATGGATGGATGGATGTGTCTGTATTTCTTGCACCTGAGGTTCTCGAGCGCGAGTGCTAAACATGTGTATGTATTTACGCATTGAATGCATGACGGACGGAAGGAAGGAAATAATGCATGCATGCATGCATGGGTGTATCTATGACTGCCTGTCTGAATGGGATTGATGGATGTGAGAATGGATATGTAGTTTGTTTGCATGTGTCAACTCTGTGTTTGTGCGTTGGGAGGACCCTGTCGAGCTACACGTAGCTGCAGCTTAGGATTCGTCATGCTTTGTAAAGTTGAAGTTGATGCTGGCATGTTGCCAATCACGACGAAGGGATAAGTTCGTTTGCGCTCACAGGCTTCCGACGCAGCCGCCCTGTCTGCAGTTTGGTGGAAGCTGGCATTCTGGAGGCAGCTCATGAGGGCAAGCGTGTCAGATGTCCGCGGAGCGGAAGTGTGGTTGGAGTTTGGGGGTGTGTTCGTACAAGGGCAAAGAGCCGTGCCATCGTGAGCAACGTTGGGCATGTGCAGGCCAACTTCCAGTGGCTGTGGGGAGGCAGCGGCAATACTGCTGTTGGCTCCGAAACGGCGGCGCACCATAGGCGAAGAACACATTCCTGAAACAAGTTGACTACTCCATCCTGTCACATGGCCCTGCCGTGCAGGTTTGCGGCTATGCGGTGCTACCAGATTCTCAGCTCGACTTGCCGTGCATTCGGGAAGAAGGTTGCAGGTCGCAGTGACGCGCATGAGCTGCATGTTGGGACAGATCTGTTCTTCTGCAGCGGTGCTGCTCAGGCAGTTCCCAGCACGACGTCGAGATTCACGTCTTGGGTGTGTCTGCATCCGTGGGCGAGGCGAAAGACCAAGAGTGTGTGCTCATGGAGGTGGTCATGCACATCACGTCGAAGGACCGCTGCAGTTTGGTACATCAACACTCATCCACAAGAGATTGTAAGTTCTGTGTTACGCAAATCGGGTTTTGCAGTCCCTTTTCCCGCTGGGTGGGATAGATGAATGTGCGGTGCAGGCTGCAGAAGATGTGGGTCGACGGTTCGGTCAAGACTAGTCGCAGTCGCTCGCCTTTAAGATGCTGGAGCGGGGAGAAAGAATCTAAGAACTGGACAACTGCTCCTGCTCGCATCGTCTGGACGACTGCCAGGACGGCTGCTATGTGACGCAGGCCCACAATGCCAGAAGTTTTGCAGCGTAATTGGCTCAATTTTAGATTTAGGCCTTGGTGCATGCATGCCCGTGCATGCCACAGCAGATCCAGGAACATACTTCCTGCCCTCACAAAGCCGGAGGCCGGATCCAACCCCAGAACGGCGCCAAAGTCATTTCTCCTTGCCTGGACAGCAGCTCTGGAGGCGCTACAAGATGCCACACTCTTTTCCAGTTGTAGAGTTGGAGGCAGTGATGTGGCTTCCAGAAATTTACATCTTGCAGCATTTGTCAGGGCGATGCAGGCTCCGCTCTTGCGGAATGCTCTGCGACTTCGGCTTTCGGCGCCCTGACCAACTTAAGGTCGTTCTGCGAAAGATGTTGTGGACAGGAAGGAAGCAAGAAGATCTTTCAACCGTTCGCTTGCCTAGTAAGAGTGCACAGGAACAGGTAGCGAAACGCGGCCTCGCCAGCTGCAGTAGGGAACATCGAAATGAATCCGTGCTATACTGGTAGAAAGCAGAAGCTTACAGCTGACCTTGCTCACAGCCCTAGCTTGACAGGGGCCTCTGAAGCTTCCATGCGGTGACAATTGTAGATCCAGGCACAGACGTGGTGCTGCGGTGTGCGATCAGCTCACAGGCCAGACCAACGGATACGTAGTACGATCGGACGCAAATTCATTTCGCGGAATGGCACATCGTACCCACAGCCTCCCTATTCGTGAAGCTTGCAAGAAGGCCCTGCGCAGCTGCGGCGAGATCCGGACTATGCAACTTTCGGCAGGCCCGATGCAATGTCAGCGAAGTCGAGTTGCATTTTCGCGCAGCTTGCGCAGAGTTGAAGTTGAATTTCTCAAGCATTGAGCCACCTGCGGGGGGACCCGCCAAAAAAAGCAGAGGCAACACAACAACTCCAATGTGCACGAGGAATCCTACAGCAACACAGTACTGAAACCACACCTTCGATGCCTACCAGACTCCGTAGGATTTCCAGGTAATCGGCGAATGATGGTTGAAATTGTAAAAGGCCAAAGGATGAGTCGCGAAAGAGGCTTGGAGACACAGGCATGTAGAACATTGTGCTGTCACATCTGCACTTCCTGCATTCGTAGTCACTATGCGTTGTCCATCGCGTCATGCATTACTTCATGCGTGTCACTTGGAGGTTCCTGGAGAGTGGGTGGAATTCGCTTGTGTGGCGCGGGTGAGACCGGCTCCCTGCTGGATGTGATTCCAGACCCGCCTTCACACCGATTGACGGTGTGCAGCGGTGTCATGTTCAACGCAGGCCGCTGTCAGGTTGATGCATATTGGCGACTTCTAAACCCTGTTTAGCAGTGCTTAGCAATTCCCAACGGGAGGCCAGAGGATTCCGGAATTTCCTGGTGGCAGCTCACTGCTGAGGCAGTGGCTCGATTTTCACGAGGAGCGGCTGAGTTGCACGTGTGGCAGACAGCAAACAGACTGCACAGGAGCTTGGAGTCGACCATTTTGTATTGTACGACTCTGACCCATGGCATGGATGGTGGCTGCCGCAAAGATCCGGCCATGATCCGCCATGTTCGCCGCGTAGCTTATGGGGCTTTACACCGAGGACGGCTCGGCAGCCCCAGAGGTGGAGGGACGCCAGGGCAAGGTGGGGCTATGGACTGTACAGTACAGAGCGAGATCTCAAGCGAACAAGCTGTTTTTGTGCAGGTAACATATTTTCCTCAGTGGCCATCACGTTTATCGGCAAAGCTGGGGGAGATCAGCGTGACACCGCACTGCCGGCATTGTTTGAGCGTGCTGGCAGAAGCACACTGCTTGTTCAGAAATCGTGGCCTCTCGAGCTGGGCCAGGGCCCCAGATTGCAACGCTGTTTATGGAGGATACTCGTACATCTGTGGGGCACGAGGAGTTTCAGCAACATTACAAAAATTCTAGGGTCTTGGACCTGGCCACACGGATCAATCTTCGTGCTCGTGTTCCAACATTCATCCTGCGCCGGTGGTGCGTCGCCATAGATGTGGAGCGCTGTGCAAAGATGTTAACTGGTAGAGAGGCAGAGGTTTTTGTTCATTTTCCCGATGTGCAGAGAGCCATTATTCGTGGTGTTTTGCATGGGAACCAGGAAACACGGCTTCTTTGCTCAGGTCATCACCTTGCATAGCTTCGATGCATACTTGGCCCCTGCGCCATCTTGGGGAAGCGGAGCAGGAGCACTTGGAAGGATATTGCACCACTTGGACGAGCATCGACGCCAGATTGGTACCGTGCCATTGGCTATGGTCGAGTTCGGTGGGACTCCGCGAAACTCATCGCTCCTTGTTGCGGCTTGGCTTCCTTATGACACACTCAAAGTGCCAACAGTGCTGTGCAATCCTGCAGCCTCGAGTCCTATAGAGGAATAGGACTGTGTAGGTGGGCTGGCATTCACACTTATAGTTGATTCGTTTGGTAGTGTAGTTGGTTGCGTAGAGTGTTCTTAAGGCACTTAAGGCCGCATAGCCGCAACAAGTAATTCACATTCGCAACCTCCCGGTACATTCAACTATTTCAGGTCACTGTTGCTTCTCGAGGTGGTTAGTTCCAGGCATGCTAATTACTCTGGCTATTGCAGAATGTAGTTGAAGTTGTTTGGTGAAGCAGTCTGTCACCGGTCTCCCGCAAGCGAGCCCGACATGATAGTTTCCGGTGTTGCCTTCAAGTTGAGCATGCAGACAGGAACGGTTTCAGCTACGTGCGCCACAGCCCATGCAAGTGCTTGCGCAGATGCCTGGCTGCAAGCATGCACACTCCAGGCTGTAGAATGTTTTGCGTTCCTGACAGTGTAGCAGGTTTAAGCTTGCATGAATGCTCGCTGAGCACACATTCAAGAAGGATTGGCCGTGGCAATCCTCGGGACGAATCCTGGCTTAATCATCCTGGCGTGACGCTTCGCAACCCAGAGAATGCTCCCAAGCCTAAATGCAGAGAAGTGGGGATGATGTTAGTGCTTGACATGGAGACGACACTGTGACTCTTCCACCATGTGCCATCGACACGGACAGGGAGGTCGCAGTCGGGAATGGTAGGAGCCGCATCGGCTCGATTTCTGAGGTTTGGGGTGTTCTGGACCACTATGCCAGATCAGTCCCTGGAGCCACGGATGTGGAGATGCCGCACGAGCTGTTACGCGTCAATCATTACGCGACTGGGATCGAAGAGACGTTGATTTGTCTCTGGACATACTTGTAGGAAATACGAGGGGAAGCAACCCTGCAGGTTGACATCTTCGGGCAGCGCTGCTCGAGCAGATTCTGGCATTGTGTCCCTTCTGCAGGTGGCTGGTTGTGGCTGGTTCAAGCTTGAATTTGAGAGCATGACTGATGCGGCTCCATCCAGACATCACCTGAGGCACGTTTCCAGATGCTGGCCTCCTCTGGGTGCTGCCTACACTCAAAGCCAGATATCATGTGTAGGCGGAAGCAGCAGGAGACATCGGATGCAACGATGGGGCATCAGTTGGCCATACCGGCCAGTTGGCGACCATTCGCCACCGTGGTCGACTTCTAGCAGAACTATGTGCGAGACACCGGACACTTGCGCCTTCGCGTTAGCGTGTGATGCTGGAGGCAGGGCAGAGCACCATTCCGGTGGGAGCCTGATGCTCCTTCACACTTGTACTGTAGCATGATCGGACCAGTTTTCTCATATTGCCCGCTCGAAATCCAGTCAGCTGCCAGGTTAATATGAAACTTGCACACTGCAGGCCATGGACTATGTTGCATTGTGTTGTCACTTCCCGATGCAGCAATAAGCACCGGAAGCCAGAGAGCGCGGAGCTTCACCTGATGGCGTCATCTGGCTCCGGCGCCCAGGGCGCCGGCAGACGCAGCTGCTCTTCCCCGCCATACAAACCGCAGGTCGCCTGGGTAGTCTACTCCCGACAGCTGTGATAGTTAGAGCCCAAGAGCATCTGGCACGATGTGCGCACCATAAGATGACACGTAGACGTGCTCTTTTGACGCAATTCGGAGAGCAGAAACGATTGAAAAGGTGCCTCGTGCCGGCCTTGCTACAAGCCGAATGCGCCCAGCCTACCTCGTGCGCGGGCTTAAGGAGGCCAAATCTGCTAAATCTGTTGTTGGGCAAGATAATAAGCTTGTGAAGGTGGTCAGAAAAGACCGGATGGAGGGCCGTTGCCGATGTGTCGAAGCCGACTGCTGTGCCATACCCTACCATGGCTGGCATCACCACGCACTTTGGCTTACCTTCAGCTGGCGGTTCTGATCCTTGAGTTTTGCTTCGCAAATTACCAGGCTGAGCCCGAGATTCTTTGCAAGAGGCAGGCTCAGCCGGCAAGTCAGGTGCTGCTCCAGCTCAAGTTGTCATAATATGCAACAGGTGCAAGATGGGACCAGCCCGTAATGTCTACAGCGAAGAAGTGATGAGGGCTTTGAACACCCGAGGCGGTCTTGGCCCCAGGAACGTGCGTCGCTGCACTGTTTCAGAAGCTCTTGGGCACGAGGTCCCATCTGGACACGCTTGCTCCACGGCGAAGCCGAACCGCGAGGCGATTGCAGCACGTCGATGTTCGCATTCCGGTGCCACTTTGCTTGGAGGCTTTCGAAAGAAGCCAGAAGACTGAGACACTGAGCATTCTGCCATTGACCTAGCTCTGAATCCTATGCCGAGCTTGTTTAGTGTCGTAGAGGAGCCTTCATATGTCCGATGCCGCCGACAGATCAGGAACTCGTACAAGTGCATCAGGGAGAGGTGAAAGAGGTCGGATACATGTGATACATCCAGGAAACCAAACTTGTGCCTGTGGCTGAGAGTTCGAAGCGCCTCCTTGAAAAGGATGCGTGGAGAGCACTACAAAGCTGGGGCGAACCATGGCTTGCTTGTCACTGATGTGACGGCGAGCAATGCCCTAATTGCCAAGAAAGTTCAGAGTTGACCACGTTTTGGTTGACTTCGCCGTTTCGGGACTAATTCGGCAGTCTCTTCTTTGCAGACAGTTTGCAGAGACTTCGGCCACGGCTGGACAGCAACATTTCTGTGCAGTGCCCATGCAGCTATGCCACCCTATGCCACGCCCCCCCCCACTCAACGCTTGTTTCGGAAGGCTCCATGTGCCCATGTGCTGGGGTTTGCGTGGTTATGGTCGTGTGCATGAGTCACCGTGAATTGGAATATCTTATCTAGACCTGCAGGCTGGAGTGCACGAAGGAGGCATACAGCATCATGCAAATGCCAGAGCCCTACATCGAAGCACACGCAGCATTCTCTTGTGCAGGTGCTCCATGCCTGACCGCCGATGTTGTGAGCTCGTAACAGCTCGTTGCTGCAAGGTACAAGGTGCGCTGCTCACACTGGGCGTTTTCAGGGAGAGGCCCCCCGAACTGGTGACAGCGTTCTTGCGCATTCTTTGCATACCGTGGTGGAATGCGCTGCACAACCTCATTGCGTTTGTCCGGGTTGCGAGACCGTATTGCGTTTGCGGATCGTTCGTGGAATCCTAGCTGCCCATGGTGCCTGAGAAGCCCGGGTCAACGCACTAGAGATGGCTACTGCACGGTCGTTGTCGTGCTGGCTCCTCGCCTGGCTGTGCCCAGTTGTGCATGCTGAAACCGCCCAGGCTCCAGCAGCGTGGGCACTAGCCGCCCAAAAGCAGGCCTTACCGGCGTGCTTTGCAGCAGCAAAGGAGACAGGATCATGTCAGGATTTTGAGTTTCAGGGCCCAGAGCTTGAGGAAGGGAGGACAGACATTCCTGAGCTCCAGTTTGCGTAGGAGAAATCAAGCCAAAATGATCGGACAGATGCCGGTGACGCACCTGCATGCGAAAGCGCAGCGCCAGACAAGCGCCCAGTCAAGAACTGCGTTAGCTGCAAGGCTGTCCAGACTGAGTTCATGCCAGGAGTGCGGAACTTCGTCAACACATACCGTGAAGTGGCTGGCATATGGCACGTCAAAACTGGAACCTTCGCTTTTTGCTGTGTCGAGCTGGGTGCCTGCAAGCAAGAGCAGCTTTAGTGCGAAAGACCATCGAGGCGAGGGAACTGCCCGAACTGCGAGAAGACTGCGGCATGAGCTATCACGGTGTTTGACTTGTTGCCTTTCGGCTCGCAAGATGTGCTCATAGCAGGACCTCTTGTGCACGTAGGTAGGCCTTGTGCAAGGATTGACGCACAAGTAGAGCGCAGCCAACCAAACAGTCTACACATGTCTACGCCGCTTGAAACGAAGCGGCAGTTCTCCATGTGAGCACTTCCTGGTGGATGATGCCGAGGCTGTGCGCATCAGCCTGTAGTTGATGAGGAAGGGCACTACTTTCTCTACTTTAGCCTTTAGACAATCAACAAGGAGTGCTTCTTCGGAGCAGGCCTGGAACCCGCTTTTCTCAATGCCGTGTCCTTTGAATGTCAGCTTGCAGCCCAAGGGATCGCCACAGCCCTCGGACACTGCAAACGCAGAGACCAGGCCTTGCATTTGTACTTGGCTCGTCTAACGCCTGCGAATGTCTACCGGGAGAGGCTCGATCTTGCATGTTCCGCGAGGCCCTCACCCGATGGCAGCCGCATGCTACGGCTACAAATCGTTGATGGCACAGGTCGTGATCGCATGGGAGTTCGGCTTTTCAGTGAGTGAGTGACAGGCCAGGAAAGACGAGTTGACATCCATGTTGATCCCACCACCACGGTGGCTCAGCTCAAGGCCTTCCATGTGTGTCCCAGCTTTCCATTTCTAGTGCCCATGCTTCCCGCCAAGCACTCGGGTCTCCGAGTGGCGCACAGGACGGCAACTACCTGGGCGTCGACTTTGCAGTCGGCTGGCCGGCCGCCATACAGAGTCACGTACTTGGCTGCGCTGTTTTCAAATTGCAGGCGGTTACGCTGCGTTTTCCGTGGCCGCCTGCTGAGCCGCAGCCCGAGCCGTGCAGCATCGTGCAGCGGTCCGCGACCTCTCATGAACTCCCAGCTGATGCTGATGCTGACAGTGTGTAGTGTGTAGGCGAGATGGAGCCGCTGGGGAGATTGCTACGGGCCCAGCGCCTGTCGGCCGAGTCTAAGCAAAGGCCACAGGTTGACAGATATGCCGAATCTCGCCCTGGCTTGAGGCCAAGCGGTGCCTTCCTGCAGTGCTACCTGCAGCGACCTTCTACAGTCGAGAGCGCCAGACGCCCAGCATGGCCCAGAGACGCCAGGGCATGTCAGGGCTCGGGACGTCAGCTTTCTGTCAGGCAGACGGGCTTGAGCTCGACCCGCTCCTAGTTGCTTGGGCCAGGCCCAACGTTGAATTCAAAAAGAGTCACAGACTAAAGAGCCGCGCGTTCTGCGTTCCTTGGAGGCTCGCTGGTGTTGGTCGGAATTCCTTCCCGCCTGAAAAGTGGCAGGACGCCGTCACGAAGCTGTGCCACTGTGCTGTCGAAGCTCGCAAATCGTGTCAGGATGTGGTCTTCCACTGTGCATTTATCATCGGCCTGGCCGTCGCAGGGTCCCGAGGGACTCAGAAAAGCTGGTTGCGCACTTGAAGCCGCAACGAAAGCCCCATAGTGCCATAGGCTTGGTCGGCGTACCTGGGAAGCCCTGATGTCTTTGATGGCTTCGGGCGTCTGGCTCTGCGCTTCCTCACAATCTCCTGGGCCAGCTTCTTAGATGTGCTTGCCGCAACCAGTGGCTAGATGTGTTGCTGGGCCCCCATTCTTCCAGTCGACTTGTCCGTGCACCTCCCCATCCGCCCAAAGCCATTGTATTGTCTGCACCTCCGAAACCTCGAAGGCAGTTCCGAAATGTAGCTTTGCGCAAACTTGCGCTCGAAGCTGAAGACACAGCCACGAGAACGGCAGGCGGAAGACAAATCCAGGTGTTGCATCTTAAAGGCACGTGTGGCTCGAGCGCATCACTGATGAAGGTTCGTGTAGGCGTTTTGCCCAATGAGTGCGCTGGCGATGGCGTAGCAGTGGTGAGCATTGGCGGCTTCCAAAGCAGTTCCGAGCCGTTGCATGAGTTCGGAGCTGAAGACAAAGCTGCAATATCAGTAGGCGGAAGACAATTCCAGGTGTTGCTGTTTGAAAGCACCCATGGCTCCAGACCGTCACTTATGTAGATCCGCGCAGGTGCTTTCTCGAATGAAGTGTGCTTGCGATGGCGTGGCAGTGGTGAGCATCGGCTGCTTTAAAAGCACTGTTTTACGCTATGTCGCAACAGTTGGTCTGTTTTTTTACAGCACTTTCAGATCTTTCAGCAGAGGTGCTTATAGGATGTGAAGCATGTTCAACCTGAAAACCGGCCGCTCAGCTTTTGCTCTTCAGCGACAGTGTATGGACCTGAGCCATAGCATCGCTCCGGCTGCCGCCTCTGGCTCTTTGAGTGCACTCCTTGTGGCTCTAGCTCAGCATCTGCGAGCTCCTGAGTTACCGCTGGATTTCCACTGCCCGAGCTTGGGGCCCGAACCCTGCTTGAGCTTTTTGGGGCTCCATCTGGATCTTCTGTCCCTGGTGATCGGGGTTGTCATTGGGCTGCTTTTGTGGCCGCTCTTTGAACTCCTTTACTTGTGGCAGGCCTTCTTGAAGGCCCGGATCCGCGCCCAACTTAGGCGCTTGCCCCCGAATCTGTATAAGATTCTTGAATGAGCCAGGGGAATCTGCAGGATCAGATCGATTCTCTGGTTCTGCGAGTGAGAGCTCTTGAAATCCAGGCCGGCCTGTCCGGTTCTGCTGGGAACTCCGAACCTACTGCCGGTACCACCGCAGGCAGCTTCGAACAGATCTCAGCCGCCGCGGCGGACACCGGGGCTCTTCAAGACGGCTCTCTCAGTTGGGAGCGCCGTTTGGAAATTGCTCGTGACACTGGTGATTTCTTCCTTCGCTGCCTGGAGGGCAGAGACAGGGGAGAATCGGGGCAGCGTCAGATTCAGCTCGCAAAGAGGGTCTACGTGGTGGTTCGGGGAAAGACTGGGGTTTGCTACAATCCTGTCCGAGTCTTTTACAGGTTCAGCGACTGCAGGCCCCTCGTGCAGGAGGGCGTCGGCTTTGCGGATTCCATCTTCTCCGGTTTTGCCTCGCAACGCGAGGCACGGACCGCAGTTGCCAGGGCCCGTCTGGCCTGGCCCGAGTTTGAGGAGAAATGAGTGCCGAATCTGCTGGCGAAGGCAGCGGAGCGGAGCACAGTGCAGTGGAAGCCGATGGTCCAGGCGACGATGGCATGCCCTTGACGGTCCGCGATTGGTGTTTGGTCACCGAGGATGGCGGGAGATTAGACGAGACCGCCCCCGAGCTTTGTTTGGAGACCGCTGGTCAGGACGGGGCCGGGTTGCAACTTGCTGCCGTTATTCCCGTAGTTGTGGTTGGGGGCAAATTGCTAGTAGCCCTGCCTGCTGGGGTTTGGCATCGAAGCCCTGCTCGGCGAGCTCTTCCACCTGGAAGCCTTTCGAAACCTGTGCTCGCCTTGGTGGCTGGACAGAAACCTCCAGCTGCGGCGGATGGGGAGCCCTCCGAATGCGAACTGAAGGTCTGGGTCGCCTACCTCGCTCCGAGCGCCGAGGCCAAGGTCAGGGAGCGGGGTGCCGGCGAGGACTTGGCGATCTCCTTTGTAGATGCCCAGGGCGAGAGGTGTCTGCCCCTTTCCGAGGCCCTTATCCGATTGGGGGACGAGCACTTTTCGTTCCTGACCGCGGAGTCCGCAGATCCTCCTCCTTTGGGCGGCGCCGCCGTTGGCGAGGACGTCACCAGACGGGTTGCGGCACTGGAAGGCTCTCTGACTCAGATTCAGCAGTCCCTTGCCCTGCTCGTGAAGGAGAAGGCCCGGGAGACCCAGAAACCAGGAGCCGACCGGGAGCGACCTCGCGCCACGACGACAGCCGCACCTTCAGCAACAGTTCGGGAGAAAGCCGGGGGCATAGGAAAGCTAGATCGCTCGGTTGTTGCTTCCGCTCGTGCCGCAGGGATCTCCGAGGAACACTTGAATCAGATGGCCGATCTACTCCTATCTCGGCCTGGCCGCATCGAAGATCTTCCTCGTCGGCCCCAGAAACAGGGACCTCTTTCCGAGACGGAGGACGAGGAGGCGGTGGATGCAGCAGATGGCGGCGCTTCTGGCTCGGGCGAGCCTCCGGATCCCTTAAAGCGGGCCGTGGTGGAGCTGACAAAGATCGCCAAGACCCTCGTTCCAAAGAAGGCGGAGGCGAAGACGGACTTGGAGAACCTCCTTTCTGGGAGCTTGGCAGACCGAGGGGATACATCTTCCGGCGGCGGCTCCCGTCGGAACTCCGCGGCGCTGGCCGCCTTGAAGCGTCTCCTGAAGGAACAACCGGCGGCCATCTACGAGAACATCGAGCGGAACCTGCGAGAAGACTTTGGATTGCGCGCCCAAGTGGCCGGGGAGCCCTCTGGGCACGGGACGGCGAGGGCCTGGCTCCAAACGCGCTCGAGGGTCCAAAACTACACCAATCATGTACGATGGCTTTGGCAGCTGAGTGCTGTTTGGGACTGCCTGATGCAGGGGCAGAACGAAGAGGCGAGAGCCAGAGTGGCTCTGCTCATGGCAGCCGGAGAGCAGTCGTCCATCGACAGCGGAAATTGGCTGATATCGACAGTGGCTCTTCTAGAGCCCCCACCACCGTACCAGCAGTTCAGTCATCATACGACCCCAGCCGCCCACGAGTGCCAGCACTCCGCTCTCTACGATCCTCGTTGGTTCGAGCTTTTCCTTTGGCAGCTGAAAGAGCACGAGTCCTACTTGGAAGCCCGGCGAAAGCTGACTCAGAGAAAGCCCGGCCCTACCGTCGACCCCGGATCAGACGCGGCGGCTCAGAGGGGCCCGAAAGCCAAACAAAAGCCAAAAGGTCCGCACAGCGAAGAGTAAAGGCTGCGGCGAGCGTGGAGAACAACATCGATGAGAAGGCCTCCCCTTTCTCCACGGCTTTGTCTGCAATTTCGATTTTGACCTCATTGCCCAGGAAACTTCTGCATTTAGATTGTGCCTTGGGTTCCTTTGCCAGAAGCGTCCGTAGACAGACCGGCCGAAGACGGCCGAACACCGCTTCTTCATCAGCCGATGTGTGGCCTATGCCCCCGCCCTACCCCGAAGCTTATCGAGAGACTGGAGAGCCTCGCGAGAGCCGGGCCCGAAAGCGAGCCGTGAACTCCTTCGTGGTTGGCCTCTCCTTCCTCCATCTGCGGCGTCCTCGGAAGGCGCCTGCCGAAATGCTGTTGGGAAGGAAACTCAGCTCGGAGCAGTGGGCCACAGTTAGACGTTTCGAAAGGCTGTTGGAAGCGTGGCTAATTCATCCGTTGGTCACTTCCGAAACTCTCGGGAGAAATGCAGCTAAAGTAGAGGAAATCGATGCCGTGCTCAGTGACCTCGAGGCCGTCCTGATCGGCCTCTTCCCCGAGGGCACCTACAACCGGTTTGGCCGCGAGGATCTCAAGCCTGGCCAGCCCCCGTCTTGTGGAGTGAACCGTGTAGGGAAACTCGCATCTAGCCTAGGGACCTCTTTCAAGAAGCTCGACCCCGACCGGATCTCCTTTATCGGCGAGCCCTCCTTTGACCCGGCTCCGTACTTAGATAAGATCGGGCGCGAGATCTTCTTGGATCCCTTACGGCACGCCCTGCTTCCTTGGGAGTTTTTCGGTGAGCTCCCCGCGGTCCAGGTGCACATCGTCGACGGCAAGAGGGATCGCTTTCTGGATCTTTTGGATGCGAGCGGGAGGTTGGCCCTTTTTAGACCCGAAGACGTTCGACTTGAATTCCTTTCGGGTGTCTTCGCTGTAGGCAAGGACAGCTCGAAGGACCGCATGATCCTGGACGCAAGGCGACCCAATGCCTTGGAGCACCCGATTGGTCGGTGGATTCGAAGCTTAGCGTCCGGGGAAAGTTTGTGCCGGCTCATCCTGATGCCAGGCGAGCGCCTGGTCTTCTCGGGGAATGACGTCCGAGACTTCTATCACTTGTTCAAAGTGCCCAAGAACAGATCGATCCGAAACAGCATGAACATGTTCGTTCCTGAGGATGTGTGCCGCAATTTTCGTGCCTACGATCCTGAACTACATGCTGGAGCTCGGTACTTAATTTAATACCTTCCCTGAACACGTTAGCAATGGGAGACTGCCAAGCAGTGGAAATAGCTCAAACCTGCCACCTTAGCATGGCTTGGCGATCAGGTGCCCTCGAGCCGGAGTCCACATTGACATTGGCGGGACCTCCGCCCCGGTCTCGAACCTTCGGAGGGATCGTCATAGACGACTTCGTTTGTGCTGAAAAGGTCGGAGGGGACTTTCGCGGCGGGGAGCACCGAAGCGGCGGCGCAAAGGCGGCCGACCTCATGAGTGATACGTATGTCGCAGAGGGCTTGATACCGCACCCCGGCAAGGCCTTTCGTGATCTACCTCAGGCGACCTTTTGGGGTACTGTGGACGGTGAGGCCGGTTTGGTACGAGCTTCCCTCGTCAGGGCCATTCCCCTGATGCACATCATTTTTCGGGTTGTGACCGTGAAGTTTGCCACTGCCCGGCTCCTGCAGGTCATCTCGGGATCTCTCGTTTCCATTTTCATCTACAAAAGGCGCTTGCTTTCCCTCCTGAACATCGTGTTTGCCGTTGTTCAGCACCACGAGGCCGATGATATCATACCGCTCGGGCCCGAACTTCAGGAGGAGCTCGTCTTGTGCGCCTTAATGATCCCGCTGGCTGTCTCAAACATTCGAGCCGCCATCCTGCCTCAGGTCTACGCGACCGATGCCTCAGGATGGGGCGAAGCAGAAGTGGAAGCGGAGGTTCCGAGTGAGATCGCCCGGGAGGGGGTGCGCCACTCATTGAGGAAGTCGGTGTGGACTCGTCTCCTAGGGCCCACATCATCTTTAGCACGACTCCACGGCACTCTAGATCCTAGCGAAGAGCTTCCTGAAGGGCAACAGTACTCGATGCATCCTTTGTGGGAGGTGCTGACTCGCTGCCCTCGTTACAGGACAGCGTGGAAGGCAAAGAGCGAGGCTCGACGCCACATCAACGTGTCCGAGCTCAGAGCATTCTTACGGTCCGAAAGACGGCAGGCTCGGCACCATCCAAGCAGCCGGGCACTTCGAGGGTCTGATTCTCAGGTCACTCTAGGGTGCGTGCAGAAAGGGAGATCGTCGAGTTTGGCATTGAACAGTCTACTGCAGCAGTCCGTGCCGTGCATCATTGGGGCCGACGTCACCAGTGAAAGTTTCTATGTTGACACCAGGCTCAACAGGGCTGACGATCCCACCCGAGGCTTGGAGGTGCGTGGCCCAGATCTCGAGATGCCCGAGTGGTGGTCCGACTTATCCTCAGGCAACTACACCACTTTCGACAAGTGGCTTGAAGAGGCCGGGGAAACACTTTCCACGCAACTCGACATCCCAAGTCCTTGCGAACTCCTCGGCGATGTGTGGTCCCGCCAGCAGGCCCTGCCACGGACAGAAGGGCCGCGAGACCTGACGGAGTCAGGGTCTAGAAGTGAGGGCCGCCGACCGGGATTTCATTAGACAACCTCGACATCAGTGCTGATCAATCGAGTTGTGGAGGTGGGGCCCTTACAGAGTCTAGCATTTTCGGAGCCGAGCTCATCGGCATTCTTCGGAGCTTCAGCAGCAGCCTCTTTGTGTGGCCCCAAAACCGAGACCACTGCAGCACTTGGGTCTTCAACAAACCTGGGTACTTAGACCTCTTTGCTGGTAGACGCGGGGTCGCCAAAGTTGTTTCCGCGGCTGCTGCAACTTGGTCGCTCTGCATAGACATTCGTGACGGTCCGGACTGCGACCTTCTCGAAGTGGAGCTTCGGGAAAAAATCGAGCGCTTAATCCAAGGTGGCGTCTTCTTTGCCATCGGGGCTGCCATTGGAGCTTCCTCTTTTTCTGTTGCCGTGCAGCCTGCGGTTCGGACATCAGAGTTCCCTGCAGGGTTACCGAATCTCCATGAAGGCATGGCCGAGAAAGTTGCGAATGGAAATCTGCTTTCAGCTTGGCTCGCCAGACTGGTTCAATTATGTCTTTTACGTGACGTGATTTTCTGGATTGAAAATCCCGCTCGCTCTTGGCTGTGGCGACAGAGCGAGTGGAAAAGCATTCGAGAGCATCGTGATGTAGGCTACTTCTCCAGTGACATGTGCGCGTTCGGGGCCCCTTGGAAGAAACCGACTAAGGTGCTCACGAACTCGAGTCTTCGGGAGCTCAAAATCAACTGCCCGGGATGCTTACGACACCTATCTCTGAGAGGTTACAGTCGGAGATTCAAGCAGGCCTGGACGAGAGTCTCGGAACCTTTTCCGAAACAGTTTTCAGGTTTGCTTGGAGAAGTCATCGCTTGTTATTCGGTTGGTTCAGAACGGCTCCGAGAACGGCTCGATTTAGCGGCCTGCGCGAAGATCACCAACGAGATCATCGGCGAGGCCAGCCACCCAGGACCGCGGCCCCCCAGAGGTCAAGTCCGGGCAGCGCGAAATCAGAATCTCGATGATGTCAAGCTCGTTTCAGCTCAGACCGAAAAGCTGCAGGAGCGGATCTGGTCCAGATTCCAAGCGTGGGTGATCGACGGGACCTCCCCGTCAGCTAGTGACGAGCTGCTGAGCGAAGCTGTGCTGCTTTCGGCCTTGGTTTGTGGATTTGGAAAGTACCTCTTCAGCACTGGAGAATCTCTCTATCTCTTCAGACATTTGATCCTAGCGGCCGTCAAGCGGCTCCCAGCTTTGCGCCAACACACCTACGAGTGCTGGAACCTCGTCTCCAAGTGGGAGGTTGTCGAGCCGCTACAACATAGAGCGCCCCTTCCGGAAGTGATCTTGCGGGGCATGGTTTGCCTGGCCCTTCTCTGGAAATGGGAGAGGGTCGCAGGCATCCTGTTGATCTCATTCTGGGGAATTTCACGGCCCGGAGAGGCTCTTCGCTCCCTCCGGTCAGACATGTTGCTCCCTTCGGACTTGTGCCTCGGCGACAAGGCGGTGTGCTACCTCAAGATCCGGTCTCCCAAAACCGGCCGGCGCACCAAGGCTCGGGTGCAGCATATTTCCGTTCGTAATGCAGCCGTCTTGCCCCTCCTGGAGCGTGTCTTCAAGAACCTCGCTCCGAACGAGGCGCTGTTTCCGGGCTCGCCCTCGGCCTTCAGGCGCCGGTGGGACTCCCTCCTCGACGCGCTTTTGGTGCCGAAGTCCTTCAAGCTCACTCCGGGAGGCCTTCGTGGTGGAGGCGCTGTGGCGGAATACCACCGTGGCACTGATCTGGCTACGCTCCAATGGCGCATGCGCATTCGGCATCAGGTCACGCTGGAAGCTTACCTACAGGAAGTTGCGGCTGAAAACCTCCTACTTAAACTGCCGCCACATTGCACCGACCGCGTCAAAGCCGCCGCCAGCCTCTACGACCTCTACTTACTGCAGTGACCTGCGGGCCACCTCAAGGCTTTGGCTTTGTCCACACTGTCATGAGCCGACCACGCTCGTGGCCTTTTGAGGCCCTTGAGGTGTTCTTCTAAGGGTGGAAGGCGTGAGTTTGCCTGCTGCAGCAACTGCCTTTTTAGAAGCTGTTCTCTGCTCTCCGTACAGCCGCGAGGACTTACGAAGCTTCTTGTTCAGGTTGCAGCGACGCTTCACACAAGACTGCACAGCTGTCGGCGCTGAAAATCAGCATTCAAGCGGCCATGAGGGTTTAACATGTGAAGCATGTTCAACCTGAAAACCGGCCGCTCAGCTTTTGCTCTTCCCGCCCACCCGCCCTGAAGGCGTGAGTTTGCCTGCTGCAGCAACTGCCTTTTTAGAAGCTGTTCTCTGCTCTCCGTACAGCCGCGAGGACTTACGAAGCTTCTTGTTCAGGTTGCAGCGACGCTTCACACAAGACTGCACAGCTGTCGGCGCTGAAAATCAGCATTCAAGCGGCCATGAGGGTTTAACATGATATGATGTGATGCTGTGCCTGTTTCTCTTTCTTTCTGGCATGTTTTCTGTGAGTCCGTCCTCATGCACTTTCTCTGATAGTGCACCGGACCGGGTTAGCAGCAGTTGCTGCTTCGCGCTTGGGCCGGCGCGATCCGTTGTAACTGACAGTGGACGTGCCCTCCCGGCCCCGAAAATTCCAGCTGCGTGATCCATTGTAAAAAGCAGCCTCGTGCGTCGCTGAATCGCTCAGGTACTAAGGGAAAAGGAATGTGCACACGTTCCTCCATCGCAAATCCCAACTCTCGCCTCCGCCGGAGCAGTGATATCGTGCCGCGCGCGCTGCACATGCGGGTGGTGCCGCTACGATCAGCTTCTCGTGACCCCCTGTAAGTTTCCAATACATGGATTACGTGTCGGCCGCGATTCATCACAAATTCCAAGACCGGGGTCGCCGGCAGCGCTCGAGATGTCAGCCGGTTGTATTTCCAAAATTGAAGTACAAACGTAGTACACGTAGTGGGTTATGATCTGTTGAACGTACGAATGCATGCATGTATATATGAATGCAGGCATGCAGATGAGGGATCTATGCATGCATGATGGATGGATGGATGGATACTCTTATTATTGTCGATGCCAAGGTGGACTGATGGATCAATGACTAACGAATGAGTCCTTAATAGTCTTTATGCATGCATGCTTTCAAGATGCATGCATGCAGTCTTGCATGATACGGTTTATTTGTCAATACTCTTGGCTGTAAAGCTTTCGGGACACCCGATCGCTACTGTAGTGGCTCGACAGAGGTCGCGTCCTTCTGCGGCGATTTCATTTTCACTCCAGGCCCAACATCCAGGGATGTGATGCACTCGGGTCTCAACTCGGGCGTGCCGGAGAGGCTTGCCGACAACGGCACGGGCTTTGAGTCGGGCATCTGCTGCACTTGGAGAAGCTCGTGCCTCAGTGCTTCCAGGCAACTGAAAGATCGTGGCACCAAGCGCGCAATCTCAGTTGTTCCGATATTTTCAATCCTCGAGCCAGGGCTATACGGTTCAATCCTCACCTTTCGTCGTGTGTGTGTGTGTGGCCACCCAACAAAGACCACGTCAGCTGGCATTTGATTCCGAGTTGGCGTCTGTTGGAATTGTAGGCAGTAGGCATAAGTTGACATTGGTACCTGAGTTGGCATCGTGCGCGTTTCAGCCGTCGTTTTGACATGTGTCTGTGTGTGTGTGTGTACACGGTAGCTTTCGGCTGAGCCTCACTCGGCATGCCCCGTCTGCTGACGACGCCGTGACCCTAGCTTCAGTTCATCATCCCAACTGAAATGTCATTCCTCTCACTCACCCTCACCTTCACTGCTCATCCTCACTGTCGCTCCTCACTCGCACTCCTCGCCCTCATCCTCAGCCACACCCGCACTCAACTGCATAGGCTACGACGTAGCCGAGTGCTGACTTGGAATGAGGCCGCGCTCCGAGATGTACAGCATAGGATGGCTGTCCGCAAAACATTTCACTGGCTAGCCCATGCTAGTCACAGCTTCCTGGCCCGTGGATCCGTGGAGAAAATGAGTCTGGAGTGCAGAGAACAGGGAAGGCCCGGAAGCAGCTCGCAGTCGTGCAGAAGGCTGCTTTGGCACAGGCTTTCGGTATGGTAGTGCAAAGCACACTGTTGCAAATGGCTCAAGCGCTCCGCATGATATAGGCGGATGGACGCCAGTTGGTTCTGTCGCTGCTTCCACTGGCGTGGAGCTTTCCTTTGGAATGCTGTCTTGATTGGCTCCTGCTGCTGTGGCTCCCGCACCTTTCTCTGCGATAATGCGGACCGAATCCGGAACGGCACTCTGCCCCAAGAAGACGGCTTGCGGGACATTCATATAGAAGTGGGGACAGGCATTTGGGATGAAAGGTTTCTGGCTTTGGATGAAACGGGTGCCTATGTGGGCCTGGAGGTGAAGCTGCTCGAGGACCGGCCGGGCTCGGCTGGAGTATCTGTTTGCATCAGAATCAGGGAGAGGCATGATCAGAATCACCGGCGAACTCAACGGAGAACCTCCCGTCATATGGCCGGTCCGAGTGTGAGAGCGATTTCTCTTAATGTGGGGCATCTTGAGAGCTACTGTAGGTGGAAGCCTTCCCGACGCATACGTACTTCAGAATCACCGAGAAGCTGAGAGCATTTGCGACTTCCTCCACTTGAAGATGGCCAATGCAGCGGGGCCACCTCACGCGGGGTTCACCCTTCAACCCAACAGCCTCGCTGACTCCGTCCACTTGTTCCCACAAAACATATGTTCCCTCTGGACGCTTTTGTGCTTGTGTGTCGCCGGCGGCTAAACATTTCTTTGACTTCACGCTGCTAGGACGAATGAACGAGAAACAGTATAGCCAGAAGTTAAAGGAATTGAATAGAGACTCACGCAGCAGGAAGTAGGAAGCGTCTGTCGACACAATTCGAGTCAGACGCACTGTCTGCTGTTCATTTTTCATTCTGGCGGGACGAAGCATGAGTTATGGGCAAGTATTGGGGTTGTCCTTCCTGCCCTTTGGACTTCCCTAACTCTGCCTGTCCGGAGGAGCTTTCCAGGCGAGGCCGCTTCACCTACAGCCTGAACTTCCACAACTGGACGTCCTCGAGCCCTTGGCTTGATCAGCTTCAGGATGCGATCGGTCGATTCGACCTGGTGACATACGCATACTGGTTCATTACACCAGAACGCATGAGCATCGGCGCATACAGCCCCTACGGAATCTTAGATGCCGTGTATTGGGCCGTAGTGATGGAGGAAACCAAGGAAGGGATTGATCTCGAAGAGATATTCTCCTTTCTCACACCATTCAGTGGCCCCGTTTGGTTGAGCTTCCTTGGCCTCATGGTGGCGACGGGTCTGATGTACAGGGTTTTGGAGGTCGGCCGCAATTCTGAAGACTTCCCGGATGGACCGCAGAGGTCCTGCAAATGTAAAGTCTGGATGCAGTGCATGGATGCCATCTTCCAGTCCTCGGGCCACATCACTGGAGCCTCTAGTTTTTCACCGAGGACCTGGGCAGGAAAGATACTGGTAATGTCAGTGACCCAGTGGCTACACACGCAGGTCCAGTAAGTCTTAATGTTTTCGGTGGCTGCAGTACTTGAAGCGAAGTGCTGCATGCTGGCGTCCTGAAGACGCCCATGTTCTCGTGTTGGAACCTTTAACCTCCGCACTGTAGTTTCGACATGTTTCGACATCTATTGCGGGACTTGTTGGTTTTCACCTTGTCTTTCATTACCACCATGCAGCCGAGGTCATGGACTTGGTGTGTCGTATTGATTTTGGCGGCCTACACTGCTAATCTGGCATCGTTTCTTGTTGTTCAGGCGAAGAGCCAGCCGTCGTTCAACTCCCTCAGCGGCGCTGTTAATAAGAATAAGAAAGTCTGCGTCGCTGCGAATTCTGCTGACCACGACTGGTTCCGATCCGCGTTTCCGAATTACAAGAACTTAATTCCCGTTTCGGGTGGTCCCGCTGAACGTGCTAGACGGTTGAATGAGGGCACGTGTGATGTCGCCACCTATGCCAAGTTTGAGTATGAGTTCCTGAGGCAGACGCACAGCCTGAACCCAAATTGCTACATGCAGACCATAGGAGAGCCTTTACAAAGCACGGCCGCCGGATGGATGGTGCTCAATGACGTCGCCGACTCTTGCACCTCCTTGGTTCGCGATGTCCTAGGCTTGTGGCTTCTGCAGATGGAGTTGGATGGAACGCTGCGCTCGATCGTCAAGAAGTCCCTGATGCCTGTGGACAACTGTGTCACAGAGGTGAACCCTCGTGAAAGCACAGCTGGTCAGCTCAAATTCGAAAGTATGCTTGGAATATTCACGCTACATGCCGTCGGTGTTGGCACTGCTGTTCTTTTTCATTTTTCTTCCGGTGCCCCAAAGGCCGTAAGCAGGGGCCTCTCGAGGACGCGCAGTCTGAACAGCTTCAGCCGTGTTTCACCAAAGAAAGATGTTCACGAAGACGAAGTCTATCGTAGGAACACAGAGCCATCAGAGGCGTGGGAGGCAGACGATTTACAGTAAAAGCCGTGAGCAGCTCTGTTGCTGCATTTGTTACCCAAGAAATGCTCACAGGATGTTCGCTTACCCGACTTGGCGAGCTCAACCTGAGCTGCAGCTTTGCTTTTGTTGCCGCTTGCACTTCGTACATCGTGTGCTTAGTGTGCAAGTTCGTGTGGATTCAGGCCGTTCGAGCCTGCTTCGGGCATGCTGCCCACTTGCAAGCTAGGAAGCCGCCCGGTATGCAATCAAGTGCCCCGAACTTACTCCCGAATGGTCTCCTGAGCACATGGAGATGCTAGGTGTGCATTTTCCTCGAGAGAATCAGAAACCAACGCCGACAAACGACAAGCGATGTGGCAGATCGTCAAGGCTGTCCTTGGCTTTGGTACTGCATCAGGCCATTGATTCGGCAAAACCTCCGGACTCTTGATTCACTAGTATGTCGATGCAGTGCACGATCTGTCTCGCGCCGCCCCAAGCACGCGTTTTCTTTGCAAAAGAAAGCTTTCCTCCGTGCTCGGAGCCCACATCTTCCCAGTTGTCATCCTCGTTGCTTTGTTGGGTGTTCTCGCCGCCTTTTCCAACGCTCCGTTGTCTAGTCAATCCACCGCCCACCATGCCGAAAGTGCGAAGCCGCTGCACGGCCAGAGAGACTAGTAGAGATTTGCGCGGCTACTATGCAATAAAATCTCCTTGAGCAGGTGGCTCTGGGAACGAAAACATGCGGCAATGCAGGTAAGCTGCATCTCCTGATCTCCTGCTCCCGTGTTGCTGCCGTGCATGCGCGAGCATGCCTGTACCTACTGTAGGCCCAGGCTTAGGCACCCCGGCAGCAATTAGGCAAACACTTCTGAACGCGCAGGCCAAAAGATGTCTAAAACAGGTTTTATGTGGATGTTGTTCATTTTGAACGAAGCGCGCGCCATGCCCGCATAGAATTTCGCTACGCAACCACATCTCTCCCTTAGATTTGCAACGCCGGCGGACAGCACCTGTTTGTTCTCAGGTGCGAGATTGACAGACAGCAGTCAATTCTCTGTTGATCCGGTTCTCCTTCGGCCCAATGCCTGATTCGCACGATAGTTTTTAAAAGGACAGCGCAGTGTGACCAGACAAGGACAAACAAGATCACAGCACCTGCTACACTGCTACACGTCACGGCCAGCAGAATCCGCTAAAGGAAAACTTACCTGCCTTCGGTCGGCAGCCTACTGCTGCCGCACCGACTATGGCTATGGAAGATTTCCTTCCTTTCCCTTTCGAGGAGTGGGTCCAGGAACCAGAGGTCATAATTGGTCTGGTGATGGCTGGGGTTGCTCCAGTGGCTGTACCGGCATTGATATGCTCCGAATTTTGGTTCAACGGCGGCTCGTCAGATGGTGTCCACAAGGACACAGCATACTATCAAGAAGTTGTTCGAACCACTGCGCTTCTTTGGGAAGGAAGCTGTGTCTTCCTCTTGGTGTATGGCTGTGTCCAATATACGACAACTGGTGCCATGATTGGAGTGTTCTTCTATTCTATTGTGCGGTCGATTGCCATGACTATTGTGACCTATGCTCGGGTGAAGAAGGAGAGCGCCGGGCACGGTGTGACAGATGAACCACTAGAGCCCGTCAGTGTGTACACGGACATCGAAGCCGGCACATTCCTCAAGTGTGCAAGTGTGTTTGTGCTTCAGATGTTGCTCTATGTTTTGCTGTTACGGTGGATAGCCTCTAAATCCTTTTCTGAGGAAGAAACAACAGAGCAAGAATTTGTGCGGTATGCAGCAGGCTCCGTTGTTGCTACTGTCCAGCGGGTGATGAGCCAAGGGTTCCACTCAGGCGAGCTAAAGCCGTTTTGGATGACGTATTTCTTCAGTAATCGCGGACACTATCGTCGACACTATCACTACCCCAAGATGCGCTTGCTGATGTCGTGGATCGTGAATGATATCCTTTTCACCACTGTATTTTTGCTCTTGCCGCTCGTGACAATGGGTTCTGACAACGACATGGAGTTTGTTAAGGATTGCACTGCAGTTCTTTTCATATCCCAATTCGACAGCTTCGAGGCAGACATCGGTGAAGGACATTATTTGAGAGCAGAGGCAGCAGAGCGTGAAGACAAGGACGAGAGCCGAGGCAAAGACGCAGCCACAGAGCTTGGTTCCCACACGGCAGAAGCCGTTTCGGACCAAGGTACTGAAGTGCAAGAAGTGCAAGAACAAGCTGGAGTCGAGCATGCCACGGTTGAAACCAAGAGCAGCATGTAGACTTGAGCACCGCTATGGATAGATATCCCAAATGGGATTCCATGGCTGGACACTGCATCACTGCTCCCAGTGTCGTGATGGAAACTCACTCTAGGATAGGATGACCTTGTTTCAACATCTGATGCTGGCGAAGCTGGTATCATTTTCATCGTGCTAGGAGCATGCATGACCATCGCTTTGAAAGCGGGGACGTTTCTACCGGTAGCAAGCGCAGAAAGAGATATCAGCGTTTCGCAGGAGGTCCAGCGATCTTTGGCGAGTGTGAGCTGGGGTGCTTCGCTGCTCGCTGCTTGCAAGCCGACACGGGCCTCAGCACTCGTGCGTCCGACTCCTTCTCAGCACCTGTTGCAGGCAGGCTAAATTTCTATCTGGGAAAGGCACATCACTGCACGGGGCCGGAAAAAGTATGGTTGCTTACCCTTCGCCCCAATCTGGAGACTTTCGCATCCTAATAACAACTACATGCTACATACTACTGCCGTGGGCGACAGTATGTCATAGCCATGGACTGGCATCCTGGTCGCCAAACGGAGGTCGCATGCTCCCCTGCCAGCTTGGTCGGAGCGGGATGAGATGCGGAATCGCGTTCAGGCTCCTTCAATCTCCTTCAACACGTCACATAATTGTGTCATAATTGTGTAGTGCTCGCTGCGAATCATGTTTGAGGCGACTTTTCTGCTGATCTGCATTCCAGCTGCAATTGCAGCATCTCCGGCGACTTTGCTGCAACGACCCCATGCCGTCCATGACCTTGCACGAGAGGGAAATGGATCGCCATGCAAGACTGCTGTCGTTTTGCATCTGCTTAGGTTCGCTTCTTCCTTTATCCGCCCCATTTCGAAAGGGACGGTTTTTTGAGCATTTGGTACAGCAGCCTTTCGGCATCGAGCTTGCTGCGGCTGTTGCTTGTTGGGGATGTTGTGGGGGGGACAGGGGGGTGGTGGCTGTGAGTCAGGCCAGCTATACGAGGAGCTGCAGACGCACCCATGGCGCACCACATCACCGGAAGAAGCGTCGGTTTTCTTTCTCGGCATTGACGCACTTGGGCAGCAGTGTCATTCAGCACTCGCTTGGGTCGACATTTTCAGACTGATTCTCGCCATATGTCCGAACATGTGCAGAGCAAGGCCGTTTGAACTCGCTCGGACACAGTTTGCGATGTTGCACAACTTGCATATTCTCTTGCGCAAGCTTCAGGTCAGCTGTGCTTATCTTTGGCCAGTGCCACGAAGCTGTTTTCAGAGTTGGCTTTGCGTCTGGCCAGGTCTCGTAATCTCGCGACTGTTTACTCTGAGCTGCCTTGAGGTATTCGGCTCCAGTTCCCGGCGCTGCAAACTACGTCACGCAGGCCATGTACTTCCCACGAAGGTTTGGATGCCTTCGTTCATGGCCTTGCCCGCATCTTCCGCAGGCTCGCTGGGGCACGCTTGGCGATGCGCGAGCTTGCCGCGAAAGCCGCCAAGCTCGCCTAGAAGCGTATGTCCGGCGCAGCCCTCAACAGAAATTTCGCTGTAGCCTTCGAGAGCTGGATTCAGCTGGATGCTTGCTTCGGCCTAGAAACGGCTGGGCCACATATTGGGGAACTGCTGAGAAGCAGCACATTGTTTTCGACCAGCTGCTATTTTGCAAGAACATTGCAGGACTACATGGACATACACAGTGTCACGGAGGTTTTCTCGCATGTGCATTGTTTGCTGCCAAGTTCCATCCGAGGTTATGCTACCATCCCTTGTCAGAGCTGGTGCATGCGCACCATTCGGTGACATTAGCGGGAGTGGGCCAGTTGAAAGGAAGACCCTATGGGTACAGAGCCTTGTCGTAACAAGCCCTGGGCCCGTTGTCGTTTCGCCAGCACCATCGAGCCGAGGAAGTGGCATTGACATTTCATGGCCTGAGATGCCCGTCACAGTCGAGCAACCGCCGCTGACAGACTGCAGCTGCTCACCTCGCAAACGGCTCGTTTCCTTTCAAGGACGGACACCGTTTGGGCCAGTCAAGCTTTTGAACGTGTGTATGAAGGTACATGTGGCTTCCTCGCTTTTGCTCGTATTGTGCTCTGCTTGTGCTCGTTACCGTTTGGCCTTAACGCCGGCGCAGTCGCAGGAGCGCAAACGCGGCCAGTGAGGCAGAAGCTACGTGCACTTCATGACGGGGATGAGATTGTGCGTGTCTTAGTTAGAGCGAGCAGGGCATTTACGCGCACCTTCTGCTCTGTTCATGTGTTCCAGAAATCCAGAAATTGACGCGGATAAAGGTGGTCAATGTGGTTGATGTATCGAGACCTGATCGCAACCCAGGGGAAATCGCAAGAGTAGCAAGTGCTTGGACGAGAAATGATCCAGACCGAAAGAGTGGAGCAGATAGCGCGGGAGTGCATAGAAGTGTGAGCAAGTGTCGACGAGTGACTAGGACGAATAAGCTAGAGTTGGGCACGGCATGACAGTTCGAAGCCAAGGAAGAGTGCTCTGAACACTACCGATGCTCGCTGGGACATCAGTCACCCGATCAAATCTCAGCCACTCGGATGCATTCCGTTCACGTTGCAACGGGCTGTTCACATGCGCCCGGAAAAGGATGCAGCGGCAGGCTGAGCACGTTACATGGCAGGCACGGAACTTTTAGGGCATAGAACGTCAGCCGGTTAACAAGTTGTAGTAAATTATAAGAAAGTTGGCTGGACATGCGCTGGGCCGTCATCACGGTTCCGACATGGATGCTCGCCGAATAGGATAGTCAAGAAATGGACCTTAAAAACTCCGAGAAGGCAGTGGCAGGCGCGACGTTTTCATCATGCAGAGTCCGCGAACGACTGTAAATACCGATGGCGATGAAGGCGAACAGCGTCAACACCGATGCGCTAGAGGTGTTTGCGGCGCGCGTGAACATGACGTCGGAGCCTGTAACTACAGCATCAACCACGAGCGACCGTGACAACAACTTTCAGACGATGACGACAACCATGTGCGAATGCACTGCAACAGGAGGAGGAGGAGGAGGAGGAGGAGGGGAATGAGGCGCGGGCGGAGGCGGAGGCAGGCAGCCGCTGCTTCAGCCACCGCCGCCGTCCGCGCCATTACCTCCCGATGACCACCACCACGCCACCGCCACCGCCAGCAGCATCAGCACCAGCACCAAGTACTCCACAACTACAGACTCTACAGCAAAGTTCTCTTGCTCATGGTTGACGTTTTCTCAGGTATGCCGCGCTTATGCGGGAGAGTGAATTTGCGCTTGCTCCTGCTGGCCATAGTCCATGTTCATTGCGACTCTACGAGTTCTTGGCTCAGATTGTGCCAGTGTCCATTCAGAGATGAGTTCACGCTCGCGGAGGATCATGTCATTCTGTGCGATCCCAGTGATCTTTGCGGATGACAAGCTGCTACCATTCTCGGAGATCTTGAACTGGTCAGAGCTGGCTTCTTAGTCGGTCATCGGAGGCCGTCGCCTATAGGTGTCGAGTAAAGCAGCTCAGGATGGCTGTAATTCTGCCTGAATCGGTGCCTTGGAGAAACCTGCCGCCATCACAAGCCAACTGGCAGAGTCTACTGGAAGCAGCATAAGCGGAGATGTGGACATCACGTTGTCAGGCAGTGGCAACTGTGCCTGATGTTCTTCGTTCGCTCGGTCCAGAACAGAGATGTCGAATGCGACGGCAGGCCTCTCAGGCTCCTACCTGTGCCATTCACACTGAGACAGACACGAGTTCACCAAGCAGCTGCATCAGCAGAGCCGAAATACGAAGTACGACAAATTCACACTTGTAATCTGGCACCGGCAGATGAGCTGTTTGCCTTGTAAAAGCTGCTGCTGGTGGTACGCGGCAGGCATTCCACTCCTATTTCGCGAATGCGAACGCCCTAGACTGCATTCGGGCGAGCTTTTTTCGTCAACGTCATTGAATCGACTGTGAGGTCTCAGCAAACGTGCGCGGTCTGCTGGAAGTTGCGTCCCTGAACTCGAAAGTAGGCCAGCCAGCACACTTAAGCTCCCTTGGTTAGAAAAGCTGGGCCGCTCTGCTTGAGGCACGGTACGCGCAGTAGGCGGCTTTGCGCTTCACAGGTTGGAAGGCAACCGGCGATTCACAGAAGTTAGCTACCGGCTGAGAAGCCCGAGGAGTGCAGATTGTGCTTGGAGTCGAATAAGATCTTGCTCTGTATGAGGCTTCAGACTTCCGAGAGCAGTCTTCAGCTCTTTCTTGGTCACCGTTTGCTGTGGAGGAAAAGCATAGACGAGCTACTGCTGTGCCCCACGACAGACTTGGGCCAGGACTTCCGGAGACAAAGACTTGCGTTGCAGTGGCTGCCTGCCGTCTCACCTAGCATGGCTGCGGCGACCTGCCTGCGATTGCTGAAACGACTTACTTGTTCTGTCACATTTCTCATGCTGTGAGGCCGCGGATTGCCGCATCTCCTGGGATGCCACTCTGCCAAACAGCGACCATGGTTACTAGTTAGGCGTGTGTATGTGAGTGTCTGTGTGTGTATGTGGGGAACCCGGCTAATTTGCAGGGAGCAGCGACAGCGACGAAACATTCGGAATCGCTGCCAACGAAGACGCACATTTACTCTGGTGATGCACTAGGTCACTAGGAGACGTCATGGTGTGTACCTGCATGGCCGCCCGAAACACTCCCGACTTTTGTTGGTTCGCACTGGCCGCTTTGATGAAGCTGAAGATTGAGGCTTCTTAGGAGCTTTAGGCCAGATGACAGCCCCCCGGCCCGGTTTAGGCCAGATGATAGGCGCCAGGCCCGGTATTGATCCTGCACATGGAGCATGGATTCATTCAAAGTCTCTGTCTCTGTCTCCGTCTGCCTGCTTGTGTGTGCTGTCATGTCTGTATTCCGAGGAGGTGCAGGCACACTCGGCGTCCGCACACTCAGAAAGCATCTTGACTGAAGTCGCAGCAGTTCCCACGGCCCATGGCTCGTGCTCAAACATGCCATGCCGAGCGCATCAACTACAGGCCTGACCGCTTTGGTGACCTGGGCTTTGGCATCGCTGGGGGTGCTTGACATGGGTGAAACTGGCTACCTCCACCAGCTTAGAAACTTTGGACTCCAGGCAAGGATGCGAAAAAGAAGCTTCTAGTGCAGTTTCAAGTATTGAGACATTTCCGAGACTCGTCAGGACCATCTTTCGGAGCATATAGACGCACCTCGGCAGTCCACCAGGGTGGCGTCCAGTAAGATGAAGCAACTCACCTGCGGTAGGGCTCATACTGCCTCATTCAGGCAAGCGGTGGCACGCCCGGCTTCTTTGAGACAGCCATACAGCTTCATCACACCGTGCGGGAAAGGTGGCGCAGTGCTGGATGCCTTCAGGTCATCTTCCGTCGCCAGCTTAGACGCGAAGCTTGCGTGTCTGCCGTGCGTGCGCTGTGGCATGGCGTGTCTGTCAAAGGCTGCACTGGAGGCCTTGGTCCGAGCAGAGACCCGGCAGCGATCAGACCCTTGCCCCCGCGGATGAAGTGCCGAGATGTCTCACCCAGGCCGTTGCTGTCAGGGACGGTGACAAAGATGGGAAGCTGAATCTTCAGGAGTTTGAAGTCCAGGCGTCATGATCGTAAGGGGGGTCCACTCAGACCGCGGTGCTTGCTGCGCGGAGACCTGAAGGCTGGCAAGCAAACCGACGCTGCTCCTTTGCAGTTTTCCAAGTGGGGCCCCACAGAGCTGTGTACAACGGGTACTTCCGACGAGCTGTCTCACCGACCTGTGTCGCGCTTGTGCCAGGCTAGATGCTGACAATGACAGTGCCCTTGCCGCAGCCCTGGCCCAATGCCTTGACATTCTACCTGAAAGAGAGCTTCCACTAGAAAGCCACGTAATAACACATCCGTCTTCCAGAGTACACAGCACCACCGTACTAATGCCATTCAGGATTAGGTCAGGAACCAGTACCCGGACAGACATGTCAGCTTATGTTGGAACTCCCGTCGCGGAGCCCTGCTTCAAACGTAGTTTTGGACGGACACGTCACGAAGTTGCAAGGCAGTTCGAGAGTTGCTCGCGGAGCAGTTGTTTCTTGACGGCTGGGTGGACTCCTTGCGACGAGGCCAGGTCGCCCGCTGGCAGAAAATTGACAATGGTCGGTGGCTTTCCAGTTTTTCCCAGCTCCGCTTCATGTTTCTTAATTTACCAGGTTTTGAACTCGCCGACGCCGACAAGGATGGTCGCTTAAGCTGCTTGGCTTTGACGACGTTCCGCAGTGATTGCAGTCTGAGTCCTTCATTTGTTTGGTGCCGATTCCGTGGGTCAGGGAAGTTGCCGCATCCCGCCAAACTTGGGGGATCCCTGCATCCCTCGTTGAGGGCGCAGTGTCATTCAATTCGCTGCCATCGCAACAGCACGCGACAAGCTCAAAACCAACAAGTGAAGGAGATGTCGGGGTCGTGAAGGTAAGAGCAATCCAAGGACGCCTGAAGGATCGACACCACATGCAAGCTAATTCATAGAGGCTCGTTGGCCGACGTGCTTCAGAGTCCGCCGGGATGCTAGCCGGGACGATTCTGCACCATTCTGATTGTTCTGCAATCAGGGAAGGGGTACGACAAGGTCAGGAACCACCGCAAATTGTCTCAAACAAATGTCCCAGCGGGGCAGAAGGATGGCGAACAACAGACGAATGGTAAACATCGACATAAATTCCGCATGCATGGCTGGCCCGCTTGCGAGCTACTGTTGGCAGCATTTTGCAGTGGAGTTTTGCGAGGTGGCCTGGAGCTGGAGAGGCTTTCTGCCAGTTTTACTTCATGTGGGCTTGCGGGTGTACGTCATTCGCACTGATCAGCGCAACCCTGGAGGGAGCAAGCGCTACCACTTCTCCACATGATGGAAGAGTACCCGACATCTTCACGCGGAAGGATATCTGATGTCCGCGAGGTTCCCGAGTCTAGATACTCCAGATTCTTGCAGCTGCAAAACTATGCAGATGATGCCCCGTTTGCAAGACTGAACCTTTGCAGGCCAGGCGAAACTGTGCCGGTGTGAGATCAGCGTGGTCACCCACTGCCCAGTTGGCGAGTGAACTGAGCAGTTGTGGAGCCTTGTTTCTCTATAGAACCGCTGCTTTTATTACTGGTTCTTCAGCAATGGGATATTCATGATACGTAGATCTATGAACGCATATGACTAATACACGTCAACTTTCAGCTGCAAATTGCTCCCAATCAAGGTTACATCCACGTGCAGCCAGGCTGGTTCGACCAGGGCTATGCCGCCGGCACAGTGACGGCTCGCAAGAGATGAACTTCTGAGTACTACCTTCCGGCTGCTGCGAGGTGTCCGCATTGCTGAAGGCTGCTCAAGACCTGCCGTGCGAAGCCGCGCTAATGCATTATGATCATCGATGTATTTCAGATGAGATGCCCGAAGCCACATGGTACATGAAGATGTCAACATGAGACCTTAGGCTAGCCGCAGAAACTCATTGCAGAACTAGGCCTCTGAGGGAAGAAGATCGAGTATTGAAATTTCGTCGCTGGAGACTGTCGGCTTTTCTGAGAGATCATTGAAGTAGTTGCTCATGCAAGGACACACTAGCACCACCGCATGGTGGCCCGTTTGAGAAGCCACTTGGGCATGCGTTGGCTGTGACTGGTTGTATAGCTACCTGTCCGAACCTTTTTACGGCAACAGGTCCTTGCCGTTCACTGCCCCACAAGCCCTCATGTGGGACGTGATAAAGGCATGCTGCAACTAATGCCAGCATCCGCTTTTAGCCACAGCAAGATAGAATTCCCTTCGCCTCAGGCGGCTGTTGCTCCGAGTGCATGCTGAGAGCTGAGCTCCAAAGAGTCGCGTCGTGCAGAATGCAAACTTGGTACCTTCAAGCTTTGATGAGGCTGTGACCTGCTTTCCTTGTCCATCCAATGCCTTTCGTGTGCTGCCGAGTGGAATGAAACGGACGCCGGAGAATGTCTCGGGATAGCACCGTGTCATTTCATGGTGGGGTAGCAGAAAGCCGACGGCACAAGATCCGCACAGGAGTTCCTGTGGAGTGGTCCCAACAACAGCACGCCGAACCGCTACACAGTGCCCCGGCGGTTTTGTGTCCCTGGCTGGATAGCGCAAAGCAGCAAAGCACATGCTGCGCCCGGGCCAAATCTGCCTCTTTCAAGGTGCTGGTGGCTTTGCAGGCAGTGAATCTGAGATGCATTTGAAATTTTGGTGCTGGCACAGTACCTTGCAGGATGCTAGCTCCATTATTTGTCTTCCAACGTGCTGCCGTAGAAGATTTGAGCCAAGGATATCCCCGGTTATAGGTTTCATCCCGGAAATGAAGCACGACCGTTTCGTGGCAGACGAGCACAACAGTTTCTGCAGCTCCACCCTTATTAGTCGGTTCTGTTTAACTGTTCACCATACAGCGAGACAGGCGGGATCTCCAGAAACTCGGATGCGCATCCTCCTCTCCGCACTAGAGATGGATATGCTGCCCGCGCCTCCGTCGCAAAGGAGTTGCACACTGTGTCAGTTTGGCCGGCCGCGGCTCCACTGAATGGAAGTTTCGCATTCTGAGAGAGATGAGGTTTCTTGGCCGCCGGCACTGTGATAGTTTATGATTCGAACTTGGTTCAGCGTGCGGCTCACAGCATCTGCAGTCGGATGGGCTTTGCTGCAACGCGCGGATCTATCCATGTTGTTGTCCAAGCCGTGCATGTATGTACGGTTTTTGTCTTTACATAATTTTACATTCATCCATCTGCGCATCTATCTACCTGTCTATCTAATCAACAATGCAGGAGGCAAAAGAATGTATCTGCCTGTCTGTCTTTCTTTTTACTAGAGGTTGGTCTAAGTCATAACATCTTGTGGAAGTCGTTGCGAATGCGCGTCGACAAGGGCGAACGCACTGCTGCGGCTGCGGCTCCTCCATGCCCTGCCGCTGTCCCCGCTACTGCTCCTGCTGCCTGTCCGTGCCCCTGCTCCTGCTGCTGCTGCTGCACCAATGCTGCTCCTGCTCCTGCTCCTGTTTTGCAAAATTGACAGTCTACATGGGGCACGGCTGCCGATTTTGATGCGATGTGTTTTCATTTCATCACTTATCTGTGTCTCGAGCGGCTGTTTGTGCGTCGTTTTCGGGGTGCAGCTGCTCTTGTGTGCAGTAGGCTCTTGTTGTCGGAGACGTTCACCTCCACCTCCCTCCGGGGTGGGATGTCTTAGGGCGCTCACGTTGTGCAAGTGCTGCCACTGCTACTGCTACAATGTTTAATATTAAAACTTAAAACTCTTCTTGAAACCCTCAGTGCTCCCGCTTATGAAGGGCGAGTGTCAAGGGGGATTCGCTTCTTTTTCGCACGTTGCGGTCTATGAAAGGTTTTCAGTTTGCCAGCTCGTTTTGATGCTTCGCTTCAATGCAATACTGTGTGTCCTTGGGGATTCCTGAGAAAAATACATTCTCTGCAATGGCTTCTCGGCCCCAGCCGAGACTTCAGTGTATCACTGCCCGGACAGTAACATGTGTATCTATCTGTCTATCGATCTGACTATTTATCTATATTACTATCTATGTGTCTATCTGTTTGTGTAAACATATATATCTAAAGACATACGTATACATATTGATACCTATGTAGATATACACATACATACTCATATATGGTGCAGCGCTGCTAGGCCCCCCCTCCCCCCCCCACCCCATGGTATACCCCCCTCCCCCCCTGTGGTTCGCTGTGGTGTGGGTTCCCCCCTGCCCCTTGGTTGCGGTCGGCTGCGCCCCCGTCCATGACCGTAGGATGTGATACAGGTCTATTGAACTCCGACCTGCCCTGAGCTCCAAAGCCAATGATGGTGATGAATATAATGGTGATGATGATGACGAAGATGGTGGTCATGATCCCCATCCGCACTCTCCTCCGGTCCCTTGCTCAAAAGTCCCGAATGAAAACCATTCAAACACGTGCTCAAGCTTACTTGTAGCGAACCCAACCGAAACTTGGCTTGGAATGACAACGGTCGATACAGTTTGCGCAAGAACATCACAAGCCAAGCACGGTTTTCAACTAGATAAAGCAATGAACATGCGGTGCCGAAGCCCGGAGCAACATAAGAGCAAAGGTACCACCAACAGCCACACTGGGACTAGCACATCAACATCATTGTGCGCAACATTCTCATTTGTGTTCGAAGAAAGGGGAAGGGAAGGCGCCGCTGGTTCCCTGTGTGGATTATCCTTCCCCACCCCGCCGCTGTGGTTCGCCGTCTTGTGGTTCCACTGTTGTGGGTTATCCCTCCTCCCGCCCCTGCCGAGGCGAGAGGCGAGGCCTGGTTTGGGGGGGAGTTACGCGGATGACGTGTGACTGTTTGGCCTGATGGGACGAGACGCCTTTCTTCGCGCGGGGGGGGGGGCATACCATGGGGGGGGGGGGGGGGGGGCCTGCGACGCGGCGACGCGGCACCATATATGTGTGTATATATATATATATATATATATACATATGTATACATACATACATACATATATTAGGACATTAATATGTACATATATATATATATGTACTTGTATATATATATATATATGTACATATATATATATATACATATGTGTGTGCCACTCATCTCTTGTCAGACGTGTGACCTGCAATGCGGTCTTCGGATCAGCCAAGTGGGAGCCAAAAATATGTGTGTGTGTATTTTTGATACAAAGCGCAAGAATATGGTGGGGAGCTACAGTAACAGTAAACCAAAAAGGTGGCGTTTCAGTCCCAGCTAATAGGGCCTGATGGCTGTCACATAATAAAAACCCTGGAGAGATGTCATGGATGTGCAGCTTGAACAAGAGGTTGTGAAACAAACAGAAATATT